ATTAAAATGAACAATCTTTTTTTTTTTTTTTTTTTTTTTTTGCTCTGAAGTGATCTTCTTTGACTCCATAAAATGAACAGTCTTTAAAATATTATCAGGTGATTTGACATGAAAGAAGCTAAACATCATAATTGAGTAGTGTTATTTGGAATAAGTTGATATATAAGTAATCTTTTATCTTTGGACTTTATTTCTTTCAAGAGTAGTTATTACTCGATATATACATTTAAAATTTTTCTTAAAATGCCAATGTTTTTAATAGCGGTTTTATTGAGAAATAATTCACATACCGTAAAATTCACCCATTTAAATTGTGCTGTTCTACAGTTTAACATATTCACAAAGTAGCAACCATCACTACTATAATTCCAGAACATTTTCTTCATCGCAAAATAGAAACTTCATGCCTTTTAGCAGTCTTCCCATTCTACCCTCCCCCCACAACCACACAGAGCTCTAGGTAACCACTAATATTCGCTCTATAGATTTGCTATTTTGAACATTTTTAATGTAGATGTCATATAATATGTGGTTATTACTTGCATCATCTTTCTCAGCATGTTTTCAAGGTTCATCCATGTTATGGCATATGTCAGTACTTTATTACTTTTTGTTGCTGAAAAATATTCTATATGTGAATATATCACATTTTATTTATCCATTTATGAGTTGATGGACATTTGTGTTGTTTCTATTTTTTGGCTGTTATGAATAATCCTGCTGTGAACATTTTGTTGGCAAGTTTTTGTGTGGGTTTATGTTTTCATTTCTCTTGAGTAGAATTGCTGGGTCAAAACTCTGTATTTAACTTTTGAGAAACTGCCAAACTGTTTTCCAAAGTAACTGCACCATTTTGCAATCTAATGAGGATTCTCATTTCTCCACATCCTTGGTAATAAGTTTTGGCAAAGATGTGGAAAAATTGCAATCCTCATTGGATCGGTTATAACCATCCTAGTGGCTGTGAAATGGTATCTTGTCATTTTGATTTTCATTTTCCTAATGGATAGTGATGTTAAGCATCTTTTCATGTGTTTATTGGCCATTTGTTTATCTTCTTTGGATAAATATATTTTTAAAATCTTTGCCCATTTTTCATTTGGTTATTTGTTGTTTTATTGTTGAGTTTCAAGAGTTTATTACATATTCTTGGTATGAACCCCTTATCAGATATATGGTTTACAAATATTTACTCTTATTCTTTTCACTTGTTGATGATATGGTAACCTTTAGACCCCAAAAGTTGTTAATTTCTATGAAGTCCAAATTATCTGTTATTTCTTTTGTTGCTTGTACCTTTTATATCATATCTAAAAATGTATTTCATCATGAAGATTTATTCCTGTATTCTAAGAGTTTTATAGTTTTAGCACTTACGTTTTATGTCTGTAATCCATTTTGAGTTAGTTGTAGTGTAAGGTATAAGGAAGGGATCCAACTTTGTTCTTCTGCATGTGGGTATGTCTAGTTGTTCCAGCACCATTTGTTGAAAATATTATTATTTTCCCAGTAGAATGTCATGGTAAATCATTGAGGTTTATTTAGGTAAAACACACATAATATAAAATCAACTTTTTTTTTTTTTTTTTTTTTTGAGATGGAGTTTCACTCTTGTTACCCAGGCTGGAGTGCAATGGCGTGATCTCGGCTCACTGCAACCTCCACCTCCTGGGTTCAGGCAATTCTCCTGCCTCAGACTCCTGAGTACCTGGGATTACAGGCACGTGCCACCATGCCCAGCTAATTTTTTGTATTTGTAGTAGAGACGGAGTTTCACCATGTTGACCAGGGTGGTCTCGATGTCTTGACCTCGTGATCCACCCGCCTCAGCCTCCCAAAGTGCTGGGATTACAGGCGTGAGCCACTGCGCCCAGCAAAATCAACTTTTCAAGTGTAAAATTCAGTGGCATTTAGTACATGTACAGTATTGTGCAGCCCCCACTTCTATCTAATTCTAACTTTGTGAAGTACTAGACATTTTCATCATCCCAAAAGAAAATCCTACACTCAATAAGCAGTTATTCCCCATTTTCCCCTTCCTTCAGCCCCTGACAACAACCATCTACTTTCTGTCTCTATGAATTCACCTATTCTGGATATTTCATATAAATGGAATTATATAATATACGATCTTTCTATCTGATTTATTTCACTTAGACAAATTTTCAGGTTTCATTCACATTGTAGCATGTTTCAATACTTAATTTTTATGGCTAAATAATATCTAATATTACAGACACACCATATTTTGTTTATTCATTTATCTGTTGAATATTTGGAGACTTTTGACCTGATATATCAGCATTCTGCTTTAGTTTAAAATTCACAAATGAACAAAAAGGAAAGGCCATTACTTTCCATTCTTTATTAAGAGGAAAGATTTATGTGCAAAATTGTTCTACTTATCACAAAGAAGACATTTAGTAAATATTAGTGTCTTCTACCTATTATGTATTTAATGGGTGTCTTCATATCCACTGTCTCATTTAGACCTTATAAGAATATTAAGGCCAGGCACGGTGGCTTACAAATGAAATCCCTGCACTTTGGGAGGCCGAGTAGTGTGGATCATGAAGTCAGGAGTTCGAGACCAGCCTGACCACCATGGTGAAACCCCATCTCTACTAAAAAAATACAAAAATTAGCCAGGCATGGTGATGTGCACCTGTAATCCCAGCTACTCAGGAGGCTAAGGGAGGAGGATCACTTGAACCTGGGAGGCAGACGTGGCAGTGAGCTGAGATTGCACCACTGCACTTCCCTTGGCTGCAGAACGAGACTCTGTCTCAAAAAAAAATTGTTAGCATTTGCATAAGAGAATATTGATGATTGTAACTTATTCAAAGTTATATAGCAAGTTACCTTCACTTATTCTCAGGAGAAAAAAACCACAAAGTTATATACCAAATAAATGACAGAGCTGATGTAACTGCAGTCTTTGCTTCCAAATCATGTTCTTTGCTGATAATAAAGTGTTCCTACACAAAAACATTAGTTATTATGCCCTGAGTCAGTATACCTATTGCTCATGTTTATCCAAAAGTATTCAGTGAAAGATAATTATGCATACCTGTTCTTTTTCTATCACAGTTGAAAATTAACCTAAATATAGTTTAAACACCAGTTATATAATATTGTTAAGAGCAAGGGATAACCTCTGTAGCACAGAATTTTGTCTTACTGTGAAACAGGCCAAGATCTCTAACATAATAGAGGGATCATGCATTTTTTTCTTATTCATCATAATATACTCTAGCATATGTACCTAGGATACTTGTAGATCTCAATAAAATATTTGTTGAATGAAGTATATTGCATGTTCTATTCATGTGACCTGTGACCAGATTTCATCATAAATTGCCAATGAACTCGCAAATCTTACAGGTTTTGAATGAGCACACATAGTAAAAATTCTTATAGTCCAATGTTGGGTACCAGCCCCAACCCTGTTTGTGGGTGCCCCGAGCCCCAGTGGTGATGAGGGATTGAGAAAGGAAATAAAGACAAAAACACAGAAATAGAGTTAAAGTGTAGGTCCAGGGGACCAACATAAAGTGCGAGGATCATGTTGGCCCTGAGTGCTGTTTCCACAGGTTTTTATTAGGTGCACACACTCATTAATTGAGGGGTGGAAAGCAGAGGGGGGGTTTATCAGGGAGGCCTTGAAACTACTGTGGGGCAAGATAGCTAGGGAGAAGCATGCATTATTAGAATAACAATGAAACAGGTGGTTCTTCTAAGAGAAGCTAATCTAGTACACCAAGTTTTACCACTGATCATTATCGATATGCAGCTGCACCAGAACACAGCAGGTGGGTGCCACCAGGTCTGACCACACACAATGCATCAAGGAGCTTTTATCTCCCGAGGACTGTGGACATAAGGCAACCAAAATTACCCTATATTCTGAGAACATAGGCGGAGCAGGAGGTGTTCCACTATCTCCGCCTGGAAGGCCTTACTGCCTTGCCAGCTCCCATCTGCAAAGACCCTCCCAGATCTTGTAAGCAGAGATCACCAACATTTCCCGGGTGCATACACAAGCCCTCTTTACGAGACCCCTGTGCAGACCCCATGTTGGAAAGGAGTTCATGGGACCAAGGCAGTGTTTTCCTGCCTTGCAACCACATAGCAGATGTGCCATGGTTAATGGGGCGCTCTCAGACGATCTAACTTTAGGCCTCCCATTACTGCTGTTGCTTGTGCTTTTACAAGCTACAGGCCGTTCTCTTTTGTGCTGTGCTTTTCATTCACTATTGTTTATTTCAGGGTATAAACTTCAGTGTACCGCAAACTCTATAAGCTAATAAGCAAATCAAATTTGTTTGTTTAATCAATAGTAGTAGAGACAGCATATGTCTGTACCTGGTCACCTGGGCCCACAGTCCAACATATGTATGAATTAGCTTGCCTTTCATTTATATTACCTTTTTAAATATGGCAGGTGTTATTTAATTTCTATTCTGCAGATATATAAACTGAAACACAGAAAAGCTTTGTAGCATGCCAGAGAGCAGCCTAAGCCACAGACTCCTCATTTATAAATGTCTCAAACAGCTGTACTATGATATAAATATGAGTCATTAGAATTCAATTACCTTAAAATACCCTAATTACTGATAAAATGTATTTAGTAGTATGAGATTTGGTAGATGTAATCCTTGAGATGTGACTATGTTAACATTTCTGTCAACCTAAAATGTTTATTTACGTGTTTGACTACTTTTAAAGGTTTAATATTTGTTCTTCTCTAAGATGCCTTACATGTTTAACTGAATCTTATCCCACTCATCAGCTTCATAGTCTCCCCACTCTCATATTCTATTCTTATCAGAAATTCATTGGTTTTTAAAATGTCTTTAGACATCAATCATTTAACTTTTTTACTAGAATCAGGAATTTTCCTAGTTTAGCAAAAACATCTTTTTCAAAATTGCCAAAGGCTGCTTTCAGTTACTTTGCCATTTTAAACCTAGTAGATACTTTGGTTTTCCTTTTAGGTGTTGACAGCTCTTCTACCACAAGCAGTGCTTCTCCAATGCCTAACAGTTATGATGCCTTGGAAGGAGGCAGTTACCCAGGTAATTTGTTGTTTTGTTCTTGCTTGATCTTCATTTTAAAAGTTATTGACCATTGGTTCCCTTCAAATGTGAACATGTATTATACATAATAGCAGGTTATATTTTTAACAGAAAAAAAGGACATTTTTCTGGCATTTCTCAGCCTCAGCTTCCCTAGTGTTGTCACTACCATGAAGGTTGTTTCTGGGACCATTATTTTTTGTTGTTACCATACACTTTTTATCTTTTTCTAAAAGATTTTCAGTAGTTTTTCTCTTCTTTCTCCTTCTTTTTAAAGAATAACTATAATCCTTGCATAAATTTTATATTTCTATTCTCATGCTTAGGGCTTTGAATTCTTTTCAGCCAGCCTCTGAGTATAGTTTTTGACTCCATGCTCCCTCAAAGGCTTCTGGCTGCCCTCAGTGGATAAATAGATGCTACCTCCAACTTGGGGGTAGGTTTTAGAGACATCACTTTTAACCATATCTGGAAATCACTTTAGTCATTACATTCAAGTACAGGAGTGGATAGTATTTAAAAAAAAAAAACTATCATTTCATTTTTGTATCTTACCCTGTGATTTTTCTTGTTCTCCTATCTCCTATCACTGACAACTCTACCTGACCTCTCTCTTTTTCTAGTGATTCCAGACTTTAACAGAAAAAGCAGTTTTGCCTTTCTCTTTATTTATCTCTTTGTTGATGATACAGGGTTAAGCTTACTTGAAGTTGGAATGTTCTATACTTAAAAATACCATACTATCTTGCTATCGCTATTCTATGAATCGGCAGAAAACTTTCTTTTCAGCTCAGTATGGAATTCCCTCATAATATTTTAAGAATACTTGAATGAATGACTTAGTTTTTTGTAATTAAGGATTTTTGCCCCTAGAAAGTGTACAAGAGAAAGAGCGAGAGAGAAAGTGTGTGTCTGTGTGTGTGTGTGTGTGTGTGTGAAGTTGTAAACCATCCAAAAAATAATCTCTTGTCAAGATATTCTAGAAGAGTTGCTTCATTCACTAAAAGATGAACAAGCATATAGTATCTCATGAGCTCTAAATTAATGTGAAGTGAAATGTTTAGTGTAGGATAGTTGAAAGATTTTGGCTCCTACAGTCAGACTGGTTTCTTTGTATTCATTCAGTCAACAAATTCTAATCTTATAATGAACTATGCATTGAGAGTATTTCAATAGACGTGGACAAGTTTTCTACCTATTTATACTGCACCAAAATTAAAGAAATATGTGAGCATCTGTAGCAGTAATATTAAATGAATTGTAGGTCTGCTCTAGGTCAGGTACTAGGGTAGATCTCTAGAAACGTAAGAATTATCCTTTCCTGAAAAAGATAAGAAGATTTAGACTTTCATGTTTATAACTCCAATTTTATTATTTCTCTCTTTCTTTCTCTTTTTTTTTTTTTTCCAGACAAGGCCTTACTTTGTTACTCAGGCTGGAGTACAGTAGCATGATCATGGTTCACTGCAGCCTGGAACTCCTGGGCTCAAGCCATCCTCTCTCCTCAGCCTCCCAAAAGTAGCTGGGACTACAGGCGCACACCACCATACCCAGCTTTTTTTTTTCTTTACATATAGATGGGGTTTCACTTTGTTGTCCAGGCTGGTATCAAATATCTGGCTTCAAATAGTCCTTCCACCTCAGCTTCCCGAAGTATTGGGATAACAGGTGTGAGCCATTGCACCCAGCCCTAATTTTTTTTATTTTTTATGCTGATAACTTGTCATGTTAAGAGATATGCTGATAACTTGTCATGTTAAGAGAACTTCTGCCCAAGTTTCCATCACCATGAGGAGGGACAAGCAAGAGATCTAAGGATTATGACACTGCATTGACAGTCTTACCCTCTTAAGAAGTCTGGGAGGTTACCAGAAAGCCAGTAAGCTGATCCTTGCCTAATCAGCACAAGATGATAGCAGAATGACCAGGAGTATATCTTCAGAATTAGAGCCAATAAGGAGATATGATTCCAAAGAAAAAAAAAAAGATTGATTCAGTTAAATGTTTCTAAGAATATATTTTTGCAGAATCCAAATGCTGGTGAAGAATATGAACTAAAATGAATGCACATTGTAGAGTCACATCAAAATGGGACTAAACAGTTAATATACCAAATTGTTAATAATGCTTATGTGCAGTTTAAAGTAACTTAGAGTTTCTTTCTGTTATTGTTTTTGTACATGATATTTAAGTTTTCTACAGTTTTTTTTTTGTTTTAATTCCACTTTTTGTTTTAAATTTAAATAAGGACATTTCAAATTTAAATAAGGACATTCATTCATTAAATACATTTTATTTGATATTACATGCTAAACATTGTTCTAGGTGTGGGACACTATTCTAGATACTATCTTTCATACTTTACTCACAGTTTTGCCACTGCAAATAATGCACATTTATAGGGGATTATGGAAACATGCTACTCCTTCCATAGAGTTAGTTTTTATATTGATGGTAGGGTCAGATAAAGCGAATTAGAGAAAAGAGTAAGTGGCACCCTTTTTATTGCTTGCTTTGTTTTGTGCTTCTTAGTTTCTCCTGAGAGAATTTTTTAAAACTGTATTAAGTGTGTGTGTGTGTGTGTGTGTGTGTGTGTGTGTGTGTGCTCTTACCTGTTAGAATTACCAACTCAAGGGGCTCATGCCTGTATTCTCAGCACTTTGGGAGGCCAAGGTATAAAAATCTCTTGAGCACAGGAGTTCAAGACCAGCCTAGGCAGCATGGGGAGACCCCATTTCTATTTTAAAAATAGAAATACTAGCCAGGCATGGTTGCTCACGCCTGTAATCCCAGGAGTAGGATTACACTCCTTTGGGAAGCTGAGGCAAGCGGATCACGAGGTTAGGAGTTTGAGAACAGCCTGACCAGTGTAGTGAAACCCTGTTTCTAAAAATACAAAAATTAACTGGGTGTGGTGGTATATGCCTGTAATCCCAGCTGAGTATACTCAGGAGGCTGAGACAGGAGAATCGCTTGAACCCGGGAGGTGGAGGTTGCAATGAGCCTAGATCTCGCCACTGCACTCCAGCTTGGGTGACAGAGTGAGACTCAATCCACACACAAAAAATAAAAAATAAATACCAACTAAAGTTGGTGAAATGATGTAAAATTTGGGGTGGAAGTTTTCTCGTAAATACTCCTGCAAAAAAGGGAAAAAAAAAGATGTAGTAGGACAACATGTAAAACAAGATTAGCAAAATATGGATAATTATTGAAGCTTAGTGATAGGTGTATGGGGTTCACTATTCTCCCTACTTTGTGTGTGTTCAAAATTTCTTAGAATAAATAGCTTTAAAAAGCAAAAGAGAAATGCCAAGGTTATGGACTAGATCATAAGTCCAGTCTTTGTGGAATCTTGATTTTCAGTTTTTAACATCAGGTGTTTCTATTTTTTTAGATATGCTTTCTTCATCAGCAAGCAGTCCTGCTCCTGATCCCACCCATGAACCTGATCCTGCCCCTGCTCCAGCTCCAGCTTCAGCGCCAGCTCCTGCCGTTCCTCAGCCTTCAAAAATGGCTAAGCCTTTTGGCTATGGCTATCCAGCGCTTCAGCCTGGTTATCAGAACGCTACAGCACCACTTGCTTCTGTAGTACAGCCCAGTAACCCAGTATATTCTGGATTCCAGCAGTATCCTCAGGTATGTATTCAGTCATATATACACATTGTAACAGTTATAAAACTTAATTCTGACAAATTCCTGGTGGGGTTTGTACCTTTGATTCAAATGGATCTTAGTGACAAATACAGATCGGCCTAGATCAAACATATACAGAATTTGATCTCAGGTTTTTTGTGTGTATATATTTAGAAAAAGATTAAATGAAATATACATATCACATTTTTAAAGAGGTTAAATCTACTCAAGATATTAGCTATGATTTTTTCTTCATTGCATCTTTTTCAGTCTACAATTGCAAATATTAATTTTATAATCAGAAAATTTAAGTAAACTTTTTAAAAATTTTTCTATTATTAAACTGGCATTCTCTTTGGAAAATGACATGGTAAAATGTGATTTGATCTCTATTCTTCATTTGAAGAATTTTATAACACGTAACTGACCTTGATGAGAGCTTCCAGATACATAAATATGCTCATCAGTTCACATGCTCATTTACTGCTGAAGTGGCTATGATTGTCTGGGTGTAAACCTGGGGTTTGTCATCTTGCAGCCAGGAAAATTTAGGACACCTACACACACGAGTTTAGGGGTGGAAGTTTAATAGGCAGAAGAGAAGAGAAAGAGAAACAGCTTTCTCCATAGAAAGAGAGAGGCCTCCCAGCAGAAAAGACTGGCTGGTGGTTGATGCACCAGATTTTATAGTCTATCTTGAGGAGCCAGTACCTTTTTTTTTTTTTTTTTTTTTTTTTTTTGAAACGGAGTCTCCCTCTGTCCCCAGGCTGGGGTGCAGTGGCGCAGTTGCGGCTCACTGCAGCCTCCACCTCCCAGGTTCAAGCAATTCACCTGCCTCAGCCTCCGGAGTAGCTGGGACTACAGACGTGCACCACCACACCCAGCTAATTTTTGTGTTTTTAGTAGAGACGGGGTTTCACCATGTTGGCCAGGATGGGCTCATCTCTTGACCTCGTGATCCACCTGCCTCAGCCTCCCAAAGTGCCGGTTTCTTGTTTACACAGGGCTCACAGATTGGTTCGATCAGATGTGATGTTTACATGAGGCGTTGGGGAAAAGGCTGATCACCCCGCCCTAGTCTTATTATGCAAATTAATTAGCCTTGGCCAGCACCATGTTGTCTGCTCCTTACTGTACACGTGGCAGGCAGAGAAGGGATGATGGAATTGCCATCTTGAACATGTCTAGTCCCTAGTTCCTGCCAGCATTCCCTCATGCAGGCTGGCAGCTTGCTTGTCTATGTCTGCAACTTGACTTTACAGACTGCTCTTTGTAGAAAAATAATTTGGGTCTGCTTTTCATTAAAAAGAAAAGCCTTACTGAGGACTCACATACCCTCACTATCAGCCTAAGTGATTTCTTCTTAACTCCTATATCCCTGCCTCTAGGACCCATTCTGACATGACCTTTTCTGGTGCCACCTCATAAACATAGCAGTATAACAAATGATACGATATTTATACAGTGAAATACTTAACAGGACAGTATTTCACATCTGTATGTCTTGAGAAGATAAAATATGGGGAAACTTTTTTTTTTTTTTGAGATGGAGTCTCACTCTGTCGCCCAGGCTGGAGTGCAGTGGCACAATCTTAGCTCACTGCAACCTCCGCCTCCTGGGTTTAGGTGATTCACAGCCTCAGCCTTCGGAATAGCCAGGATTATAGGCACCCACCGCCATGCCCAGCTAATTTTGTATTTTTAGTAGAGATGGGGTTTCACCATTTTGGCCAGGCTGGTCTCTAATTCCTGACCTCAAGTGATCTGCTTGCCTTGGCCTCCCAAAATGCTAGAATTACAGGCATGAGCCAATGTGCCCGGTAGGGAAACAGTTTTAATGACAAAAGTATTGCTACTTATAGAAAACTGTTCTTAGTTGACTAACCTTATAGAAATTTTATAGTGAAGTGAGAATGAAAATTAGAAATAGGATAATCAGGGAGGAGCAGTGGCTCACTCATGTAGTTCCAGCTACTCAAGACTAAGGTAGAAGTATTTGGTTGGGGTGGGCAGGGGAGAAAAAGGAAAATGATTTGTTTCCGGAATTTAACCTTAGAATTTAAGTACAGAGGAAAAAGGGAGGAGGAAAATTGAGAGAGACGTTAGAGGAATATGGGTGGTTAGTACAGATTCTCTGCCTCTCATTTTGCTAGATTTTCCTTATGGCTCTGTTGTGCCATGTCAAACAGTTTTTAAGTCTGTCTTGTCTGACTCTTGTACTTTTAGGCAAATTCCTATTTGGGGTTGTAACATACTTACTTATAATTTTGATGATAACAAAAGCAGGTTCAAAGAAAGGATTGATTCTTGGAAAGTATTGAGCAAAGAGAAAACAAAATTATTTTGAAATAGTAAGTGGTCTTACATAATGACTTAGGACAATAGTTCACGAACTATAGACCTCTGGCCAAATCTGGCCCACTGCCTGTTTATAATAAAGTTTTATTGGAGTACAGCCATGCCCATTCTTTTATGTTATTGTCTATGACTGTTTTTGCACTACAGTGCTACAGTTTAGTAGTTGCAAAAGAGATCATGTAGCTGTCAAAACTTTAAAATATTGATGGTCTGATTCTCCACAGAAAAACTTTGCTGACCCCTGACATAGGCATGTAGGAAGTATTTTTGATTTCATATTTTATGTGGGAGGTTATTTTATAAAAGTCAAGAAATTATCTTTGGAATAAGAGTAAAAATGAATGTTCTACCAGAATTAAAAAATACAACATCATTCTATTCTGTAATCACAATTCTTTTTATGTTCTGGGTCTCATACATGTGTCAGAAAAGTTTGGATAAAGGGGACAAAGATATACTAAAACGTTATCTGGGTTATTAATCACACTTATGTGAGCATCATAAACCAAAATATTTAGAAGTAGACTCTTAAGAGAGCAATCATTCCCACCTTTTTTTTCAAATATAATTGGAAGCATAGCATATGTACTCATGTCTAGATTCTTTTGCTCAACATTATGCTTATTGTGTGATTGTAATTCACTTCTTTTCATTGTTGTGTGGTACTCAATCATGTGAATAGACCAGTTTGTTTATTTGTTCTATTGTTGATGGGCATTGGGGTAACTTTCCAGTGTGGGGCTATTATGAATGATGCTATTGTGAAAATTTCTGTCTCTGTCTTTTAGTGAGTGTATATAGGAATGGAATTGCTGGGCCATTGGGTATTCATTTTTCAATTTTAGCAGTTAAAACTAGACAGTTTGCCAAAGTGATGTTCTGATTTATACTTCATTAGTAGTGTGTGAGAGTTCAGTTGCTTCACATTCTTGTCAACACTTGGAATTTTGACTTTTTAAATATTAAATAGTCACCTTCCTTTCATTTCGTGAGGAAATAGAAACTCAAATAAGTGAAATCACCTGTCCAGTACCAGGCTTGGTTCTAAGAATGCAAAAGACCTTGCAATTCAGAATTAAGCACTTTTTTCTCCTTAACTGGAAAGGACTTGTATAGTCCGATTTGATCTATGGATCTTTTCAAAAAAGATTACAAGCAGCTATTTATTTTTGTCTGATGCGAATTTAAAATAGTTTTTTGGACACTACCGTTTTAGGGTCGGTGAACAGTAATGATTTAGGTATACAGCTAGGACCTACATTTAAATTCTTACCTATTTACCAAAAAAATATTATAAATTTAAACCTAAGATTAACACTATCAGACTTTTTTAAAAGAAGCCTTTTTATTTGTTTGTTTGTTTGAGATGGAGTCTTGCTCTGTCGCCCAGGCTGGAGTGCAGTGGTGTGATCTTGGCTTACTGCATCCTCTGCCTTCCAGGTTCAAGTGATTCACCTGCCTCATCTGAGTAGCTGGGACTACAGGCGTGTGCCACCATGCCCGGCTAATTTTTTGTAGTTTTAGTAGAGACAGGGTTTCACTGTGTTTGCCAGGATTGTCTCCAATTCCTGACCTCGTGATCTGCCTGCCTCAGCCTCCCAAAGTCTTGGGATTACAGGCGTGAGCCACCGTGCCCAGACCATTTATTTTGGAAGTTCTGCGTAGGGTAAGAATATCCCATCTTAGCTTTACACAATCTTCTATAATAAAGTTGAAATGCCTTTACATGTTATACGTAATGTAGTGCAATGAAAGGGCTCTGTATAAGGGCTTTTCTTTGTATTAATTAATTTGAGATGACTTTTATTAAGTAGTAGGAAACCCTAACGGTTGTTGTTGCTGTTGTTGTTTTTTCATTTAAAATTTATTTATTCACCTAATACACCTAAAGAGTTGGGTTTTGAAGGAAAAAAAAACTTAAAAATTGTTTTTTAGGGTTGAAAACCAGGAAAAAGGCTGATGTTTAAAAACAAAAATAAAAATTACAAAAGTATTTTCAGTGAATATAGGCAAAACCAGATACAGATACTTATTATATAGCTTTTTTAAATTACAAATTTAGTGAGATCAATTAGGGAAAATGCAGATAAACAAAAGGAAAAATTAATAAATATTAATAAATATTAACCAATATTTCTACCAAACTGTAAGCAGCAATAGTTGGGGTCTGTCCTTCCAGGTTTCTTTCAACACACCTGTAATCCTAGCACTTTGAGAGACCAGGATGCAAGATCACAAGGTCAAGAGATTGGAACCATCCTGGTCAACATGGTGAAACCCCATTTCTACTAAAAATACAGAAATTAGCTGGGCATGGTGGCACTTTCCTGTAGTCCTAGCTACTTGGGAGGCTGAGGAAGGAGAATTGCTTGAACCTGGGAAGCAGAGGTTGCAGTGAGCCAAGATCGTGCCACTGCACTGCTGCCTGGTGACAGAGTGAGACTCCGTCTCAAAAAAAAAAAAAAAAAAATGAATGTCACTTTGGAAAATTTTTTAATTTATTTAACAGTATAAGAAGAAACCTTTATTATTTTTATGTATCTTTCATCATTTTGGTACTTGTATGTTTTATAATGAGTCTCCCATTTATGGGGCATAACTCAGGGTCAAAATCAGCATCCTTTTAAGCTTGGTGTGCTTCTGTGATCCCAGTTAAGACAGGAGAATCAATTGAGCTGAGGAGTTTGAAACCAACCTGAGCAACATTGTAAGAACCTGTGACAAAAGAAAACAAATCCTTGCATGTGTACACATGCACACACACTTTATTATATACATACAGCTATGTGCTGCATAATGACATTTTAGTTAATGACGGACCACATGTATGATGGTGGTTCCATAAGATTATAATGGAGCTGGAAAATCCCTGTCACCTATTGACCTTGTAGCTATGGTAATGTTGTAGCACAGTGCATTACTCTTGTGTTTGTGGTGATGCTCTTGTAAACAAACTTGCACCTCCAGTCATATAAAAGTATAGCACATATAGTTATGCACAGTACATAATACTTGGTAATGAAAATAAATGACTACTGGTTTATGTATTTATACTATACTTTTTATCATTATTTTAGAGTGTACTCCTACTTATGAAAAATAAAAGTGAACTGTAAAACAGCCTCACATAGGTCCTCCAGGAAGTTTCCAGAAGAAGGCATTGTTGTCACAGGAGATGACAGCTCCTTACATGTTATTGCACCTTAAGACCTTCCAGTGGGACAAGATGTGGAAGTGGAAGACAGTGATATTGATGATCCTGATCCTGTGTAGGACTAAGCAGATATGTGTGTTGTGTGTATTCATTTTCAACAAAAAGTTTTAAAATAAAAAATACTTAAGATAGAAAAAAAGCTTATAGATAAGGCCATAAAAGGAAGAAATTTTTTTGTATAGCTGTACAATGTGTGTTTTACATTGTTTTTGTAAAAGTCAAAAAGTTATTTGATTGGTGCAAAAGTAATTGCAGTTCTTGCCATTGAAAGTTGTGACAGGTCAGGCACAGTGGCTTACACCTATAATTCCCAGCACTTTGGGAGGCCGAGGTGGGCGGATCATCTGAGGTCAGGAGTTCTACCAGCCTGGCCAACATGGTGAAACCCCGTCTCTACTAAAAACAGAAAAATTAGCTGGGCATGGTGGTGGATGCCTGTAGTCCCAGCTAGTCAGGCGGCTGAGGCAGAAGAATCTCTTGAACCCAAGAGCCGGAGGTTGCAGTGAGCCAAAATTGCACCATTGCACACCAACCTGGGCAACAAGAGCAAGACTCCGTCTTAAAAAAAAAAAAAAAGTAATAAAACCCGCAATTACTTTTGCACCAACGTATAAAGAAATTAGTTTATAAAGTGAAGAAGTTACAGTAAACTAATGTATTGCAGAAGAAAGAAAAACTTTTTTCCCTCAGAGTCTCATTCTGTTGCCCAGATTGGAGTGCAGTGGCACAATCTTGGCTCTCACTGCAACCTCCACCTCCCAAGTTCAAGTGATTCTTGTGCCTTGGCCTCCCAAGTGGCTGGGAGATAACAGGCACCTGCCACCACTACACCCGGCTAATTTCTGTATTTTTAGTAGAGAGAAGGTCTCACCATGTTGTCCAGGCTGGTCTCAAAAACTCCTGACCTCAAGTGATCCATCCGCCTAGGTCTCCCAAAGTGCTAGGATTACAGACGTGAGCCACCAGATCTGGCCAAAAACTGTATTTTTATAGGTTTGATAAAACCTAAATGTGCAGAGTTTATAAAGTCTACAGTATACTAGTGTCCTGGGTCTTTACCTTCACTCAACACTCACGCACTGACTCACCCAGAGCAACTTCCAGTCCTTTAAGCTCCATTCATACCAAATGTCCTATGGAAGTGTACTATTTTGTATCTCTTGCTATATTGTTCCTATTTTTTTTTATGTTTAGATATACAAATATCATTGTATGCAGTTGCCTACAATATTCAACAGTAACGTGATACACGTAGCCTAGGACTAACAGGCTATGTCACATAGCCCAGGTGTGTAGTAGGCCATACGTACCATCTAGGTTTGTGTGTACACTCTTTGATATTTGCATAAGGATGAAATCGCCTAATGACGCATTTCTCAGTACATGTCCTTGTCATTAAGCAACGTGACTACACACACACATTTATGCATTTGTATTACTATTTCCTTAAATGAAATTTCTACAAGTGGAATTAGAAAATCAAAGCATTTCTTCCTTTGTTTTTTTTTTTTTTTTTTGAGATGGAGTCTCTGTTGCCCAAGCTGGAGTGCAGTGGCGCGATCTCAGCTCACTGCAACCTCCTCCTCCCAGGTTCAAGTGATTCTCCTGCCTTAGCCTCCCAAGTAACTGGGATTACAGGTGCATGCCACCATGTTTGACTTAATTTTGGTGTTTTTAATAGAGAAGGGGTTTCACCATATTGGCCAGGCTGGTCTCGAACTCCTGACCTCAAATGATTCACCTGCCTTGGCCTCCCAAAGTGCTGGGATTACAGGTGTGAGCCACCATGTCTGGCCATCATTTAATTATTTAAGACTTTAGAATTTCTCTGTACTCAATAGAAGTTTATTTCTACTCTGTGGCAGAACTATTTTAGGCACTGAGAATATGATAGGAGGCTCAGTGAACAAAACAGATTTCCTGTTCTTAAGAAGGTTGGTGGGAAGTCAGCATTAATAAGACAATAAATAAGTAAACAAATAAAGAGCTAATTTCAAGTAGTTGCAAGTGCTATGAAGTAAGACAATTTGAAATAATTTCTGGGGTGGAAATATGGTGTAGGTGGTCAGACAAGCAGTATTCATTGTAGAAATTATGTTTGAGTTAACATTTGGAAGACAAGAAAAAGCATGGAAGGATCTGTGGTTAAAGTATTTCAGGCTGAGTAAACTGATAAAGCAAAAACTTAAGGCAGGAACAAGTTTGACATGTTCGAGGAATGAAGTCTCAGTGTTGCAGTAATTCAGCATGGGATGAGTAATAGGGATGAGATCAGAAAGCTAAAGGATAACAGTCAGAAGCTTAGATTTTACCCGAAGTGCAAAAGAGAGGTATCAGAGATTTTATGTAATGGAATGACATCTAATTTACATAGTTAGAAAATCATTTGGCTGCTGTGTGAGGAATGGATTAGAGATGGGAGTCTTTGAAAAGACAAAATGGAAGCAGGGAGACAAATTGAAGTTTTGCCCTAATTTAGGAAATTGCTTCTACTTAAACACATATATTTTCCATCTTTACTGTTGCAAGTATCTGGAAGTAATAACACACTAGCGATAAGCACTTTTATCATCCAGATAATGGTTTTTAGATATCATCTCTACTTAAAAGGAGCCAGTATCCCTTTTTAGACAAACAGTTCTAGGTTTGAAGAAAAAGAGTGTAAAATATTGTGTAAGAAAGCTAACAAAGACTAGTTAGGTTCATATAAAAGGACACTGGGGCCATCTTGAAAGGGCTTTCACTGGCCAAAGATTGGGTAGTTTGAACATCATAAGAATAATGACTATAATTCATTACATCAATTTGAGTTAGCAAAAAGCCATGAATTCCTGATAATACTAAAAATATAGGAAATAGAAAAAAATAAGGCAAAACCTATTGAACACCATTGTACATTTTTATGGCACCAAGTCATTATTGTGAAAGTTGATAATTGGTGGGAGGGGGGGACCTTGAGAACAGTGGGGCATTTATCCTCTTTTTCTAGTATAAACTGTATTTGGGGAAACCAAATTGCTAATATTGAAAAGCATTGTTGCTGAAATTTCATTGTGAGGGTTAACCTTGCTAATAAGATTCAAATTTATTCAGTTTTTTTTGAAGTGTGCTTTAGATTGACTGCATGTTAAGTCATTCTATTACCAAGCCAGATTTAAATTTTCTTACCTTTTTGCTTTTTCTGTATGTTGAGATATGTAGTATATAGTATAACAAAATGTATTTATGTTTTATTGTTCTTTTGTTTTGTTTTGAATTGCTCTTTCAGCACTATCCTGGTGTGAACCAGCTGTCCTCCAGTCTAGGAGGATTGAGTCTTCAGAGTTCTCCACAACCAGAAAGCCTGAGACCTGTAAACCTCACTCAGGAGAGGAATGTTTTACCCATGACTCCTGTTTGGGCTCCTGTACCTAACTTGAATGCAGACCTCAAAAAATTGAACTGTAGCCCAGAGTAGGTATTTATTTGTTTTATAATCTTTCTTAGGTGATGAAAACATTGTATGACTTTCAAAAATGGTGAAAGAAGTATGCTATTTGGTTGGAAGTTTTGTTAATGTTGACTTTTCTATTTTAGTTTGTATAGAAGTTTTAGATGTAAAATTTTATTTCGGTCATCTGTTTTTGTTCCCATCTCAGTCTTAATCCAGTCCCATCCCCTTATCACCTAATGTTAGGGAAATTATTTCTGTTTGAATGAAGGGTTTCAGGAACCCAAATGTAACTATATATTTTATTTCTTAAATCTTTTTCCTCACTTTTTAATAATAATAACTTCTGATATCTTAAATAAGGTTGAATCTTTAAAATTTTAGGCTTTGCTTGAAAAGAACATAGACCTCACTTATGTAATCTCAGGAACAAGTTTAGAGAAATAGTTTATCTCAGAATTTTCTTTTCCTACTCAATACTACAGAGTTTGAAGACCATTGACTCCCAGGCTTATTATTCTAGTCTGAATCTAGACTGGATTTTCTTTAATGGAGAAGTTTAGCTATGGCAGACTGTACTGGCAGCCACCAAGCCCTGGTGTATCTTTGTGTGGCTGAGCTCTGTTACTCACTTGACAATGCTTCATGTTCTTTGTTCTTGCAAGCTTTTAGTATTTCTGTATCCTATGAATAGGATTTTCTCCTGGTCCTAAATTTATTTATTTTTTTTGGAGGACATGTTCTTGCTCTTGGAATTTCTCCTCATAAAGTAAACTCTGATTCCCAGAACAACATTGTCTTTTTTTTTTTTTTTTAATGGGGTCTCAGTGGCCTGATCTCGGCTGACTGTATCCTTTGTCTCCTGAGTTATAGTGATTCTCGTGCCTCAGCCACTGAATAGCTGAGATTACAGGTGTGCACCATGACACCTGGCTAATTTTTGTATCTTTAGTAGAGATGGGGTTTCACCATGTTGGCCAGACTGTTCTCAAACTCCTGACCTCAAGTGACCTGCCTGTCTCAGTCTCCCTAAGTGCTGGGATTAGAGGTGTAAGCCACCACACTTAGCCAGCCTTGCCTTCCTTATATTAGGAGAATTAGTATTTTTCAGAGCCAATATTTCCCTTTTCTTAAAGCAGTAGTTTTCCAGCTTTTAAAAAATTCTGCAGCTACTCTTTGAACCAAAATATTATATAGAATTCCAATATAGAAAATAGGAAGTGGAGCCGCTTTGAGAATTTCCCCTCTTCTTCCACTGTACTCTGCCACAACACACCATTAGTGCCTCAGGTAGTACCAAGATCATTTCCATAAAAGTATAGAGCATCATGGATTATAGGTTGAAAATAGCTGCCCATCCTTTGAATATGAATTGTTACCAGGTTGATAAGTTTGTAAATTATGACCTTGTAGTATAAATGGTTAGATAGCCCCTATGTAAGCAAATGTAGTGTATAGGCCATACATAGTAGCACATGCCTATAATCCCAGCACTTTGGGAAGCCAAGGCAGGCGGATTGCTTGAGCCTAGGAGTTCGTGACCAGCATAGACAACATGGTGAAACCCTGTTTACCAAAAAACAAAAAAGTTAGCTGAACATACTGGCATGCATCTGTGGTCCCAGCTGCTCAGGAGACTGAGGTGGGAGGATCCCTTGAGCCCAGGAGGTGGAAGTTGCGGTGAGTTGAGATTATACCACTGTACTCCAGCCTGGGTGGCACAGCAGGACCCTGTCTCAAAAAAGTAATTTTTTAAAAAATATAGCATATGTAGAAGAGAACCCATAAGTAAGGGGAAGGCATACTTTTTTCTACCTAGTTGTGTGTTTTTTTGCAAAAATAGATCTTTTATCAAAATAGCAAAAAGATAATTAGGAGCATAGACTTTAGAGTTGAGCAGACCTAAGTTCTTGCTGTGGTTCTAATGACAGGTAGCTATAAAATTTTGCAATTTACTTAACCTCTCGAAGTTTCAGTTTGTTTGTAAAACAGGAATAATAATAGTATCAACATACTAAGATAAATCATTTAATAAATATCGAATGCCTTCTAAGTTAAATGCAAAACACTGTTTTCCATCTGCTGGGGATAAAGTTGTAAACAAAACAAAGTTTCTGATCTCTATGGAATCACAGAACTTATATTCTATGAAAAAACTAGTAAATATATAATGTAATGTTCAGGGTTTTACAATGAAGAAAAATAAATCAGAATAGGGAGTGCGGGTGGAGGGTGACTCTTTTAAATTGAGGAGTCTAGACAGGTTTACCCAAAGACTTTAAACATTTGAATAGAGATCTGGGTGAAGTGAGAGAGTAAGCTGAGTGACTTCTCTGGGAAAAAAGGATTCCAAACTGCATGAATAGCAAATGTGGAGGTCCTGAAGCAGGAACAAGCTTTTTGTGTTCAAGGAACAACACTGAGGCCTGCAATAAATAGATATCTCTGTATCTCTACATGACATTAATGACTCTTGTTAAAATTTCTTGCCTGGCTTTCAGTACTTCTGCTTTTTACTTCTTTGGCCTCTCGTTTTTTCATTCTTTGTTTATTGACCTTAAAACTTCATAAGTTATAAGCACCTACTCAATGAGGGAAACTGGGCTAGGGTGATACAAAGACAAAATGCTCTCTGATCTCAAATGGTGAAGACAGACAAGATAAACAACCAATTAAAGTAAATCAGACTAATTGATATCATATAGAAGCATAAACATAGAGCACGGAGAAAGAAGTCATTCCTTCTGACTTGGGGATTTAGGGGTGAAGGTGGTTATAAGCAATAACCTTGATGGATGAGTCTTGTAGTAAGAGTGGGAGTTCGACAGGTGCAAAGCGGGCAGTAAAGCAGTAACAGAATAATTAAAGACAAAGAAATAATGCCTTTTCACTCTGTTTTCTTTGTGCTCCTATTCATGTCCTCCAGGCTAGTCATAATGGAGTAATTGGTCTCCCCTGAATATGTACTAGTTTTCCACCATGAAAGGGTTGACTTTTCAACTTAGATCTTTTGGCATATATTACATACACGCCTAGTTAATCAGGACCTTCTTATTTATAGCTATAATTACATGCCCAAATGATTTTCACTTATGTTCCCTAAATGCTCTTAATTATCTTACCTACTTCAGTGTATTTTTCTCTGATAGCTAATATACTCCATGTTGTTTATGTTTTTGCAGTTCATTTCGGTGTACTTTGACAAATATTCCACAGACACAGGCTTTACTGAATAAAGCTAAGCTTCCTTTAGGATTGTTGTTACATCCCTTCAGAGACCTAACGGTAAAGTAACATTTTAAAGTATTTATGGGTACTGACATTTATGCGCATGTACAAGGTACTTAAATTTTATATTTTCTTAGAATTTTCTTTATCTTCTTTTATTTGAAGTTAGAAATAATCATTTCTGTAACATTCAACTTGGCAAACACTTTCTGAGCACCTGCTTTGTGACAAGCTCTAAACTAAGCACTGGTAGTACAGAGGTGATCAAGTCATTGAGGTTGCCACCAAAAAGTTCTTATCTAATGGGACAAAGATGTAAAAACAATAATTACAGTGCAGGAGAATTAATACATGTAATTAATTAAATTCTGTGAGATACTTAGGTAGAGCGTACAGTATGAGAAGTGATTCCCTATGGATACACTAGCAAAAGTTTTCTGTAAGTGATGAAGTCTGACCTTGATTTTGAAAGATCAGCAGTTTGGGAAGGTGGAATGGCCATGGAAGGTGGATACGCTTTAGGAGTTCTTTATTAAACACAAAGGAAACACCAACAATGATGTCTATTTAGACTGGAAAGCTGTCTGATTGTTTCTTAACAAATTAAACAAACTTTTAATTAAAAAATAAACTTTGTTACAACAGGGATTTTTAAACTTTAAAAGTTTTAAAACTTGTACATTTTTGAACTTTTAAAGTTTTAAGAGTTTTAAATATTTAAAGTTTTAAGAGTTTAAAATTTTTAAAACTTCAAAAATAATTGTATTCAGAGCTTCTGTTTGTACTTCTTAAGTTGTGTTTCTCTCAAACTTTTTTACTACTATTGTTAACTACCCTTCTTACTGGTGCTGAGTTTTCTTTTGCTCTTATTCATCCAAGAAATATTGATTGACTACCTGTCAAGCTAGATGCTAGAGATACAAAGCTTAAAAAGCTTCCTTGTGAAGCTTACTTTACTACTAGGAAGTATAGAAATGATCAAAATAAAAAATTATAATATGTAATAAGTACCATGAATTTATTCATTTAGTAAATATTTTTAATCACCTATAATACTCTTAAAACCTTATCTCTAAACCAAGATAGTTAATTTCCTTTATACATAGGTGAGAGTTTTTCTTTAAATACAGATACCATACATGATACCTTCTCGAAGTGTATATACTAAATTGTTTACAGTGACTTCCTCTGGGATGTAGAATTCTGTAATTTTTTATATTTTCAGTCTCAGTTAACTATTATATTTCCTGATTTTTTTTTTACAACAGATATGTGGTTACTTGTGTAATAATGATAATATATGTGAAAAAATTAAATACAAAGATCGTAAATGTTCATATGCAGATATTAAAAAAATCAGAATGAAATTACTAAAATGAAGCAAGTTAATTCAGGGACATAGAATAATATGTGATCTCTTAATCTTTTTTCATATTTTCTAACTTTTCTTCTTGAATGTAAAATTCCTTTCCCAAACCAAACATAGAGATGCATTTTTTGAAAGGCACATTGTGTTTGGCTGCTTCTAGCCTCAGCTTTCATCAGAAGTTGTTGTAGCAGTCTAATGATCAGTGCCTAATAGTGTAGTACAAGGTGCAGTCAACAAAGACAGAGCCATTTGTATATGGTATATGTTTCTCTCTCACTGTTACTTCTAAAGTTCAGCTGATGAGATCTCACTTACATTACTTTCTTGGCCAGTATTTGGTGTGACTTTATTTTAATGTTACGATTTGTGACAAGAGGGAGAAAGCTTGATGGCTGCGTGTGTTGCTCAGCACGTCCCTGGATTTTATTGATATGCTTCCATATAAAACCACATAAAAACAGTTAAGGTTTCTGTTCTGTATATGGAGCAGAGCAGTATATGTTCTGTTTTTCCTCAGGGTGCCTTTTTCTGCTACAACTTCTTTATTTTATTTCCTAGCAATTACCAGTAATAACATCAAATACCATTGTGAGGTGCCGATCTTGTCGAACATATATTAACCCCTTTGTATCCTTCATTGATCAACGTAGATGGAAATGCAATTTGTGCTATAGAGTTAATGATGGTGAGTTTTTAGATTCTTAAAATAAATATGTTTTAATCCTGTTTTCCATATTTTTTGACATTTTTGTCATTTACTGGTTTCTCTCTTGATTTCTTAAAAAATAATTTTTATGCCATTTTTAGCCAAAGGAATATAGGCTAAGGCTAGGACTAGGCTAAGGCTTCATTTTGGGTGACCAAGGGAATAATTGACAATGAGGAGCGTAACAGTGAGGACAAAGTAAAAAAAATAGAAACGGTGACACGCAGGTCAGCTTATGCAGACTAATTATGTTTGCCCCCGAAAATAAAATTGTCTTACATTTGTATATTTGGTTAATTCAACTCAGGTAGAATTTTGCCAGTATGTCTGAATGCATGCACATATATGTGTCAGTTTCTTGTTCACTTTATTCATTTCTTAGGTTCCCCTACTAGAGTTGCTTTCAAATTATGTTTCTCTGATTTTTTTCATGGCATTTGATAAAATAAATAGGACACAAGTCTAAGAAGGAAGATTACTTGCATCCTAGTGTTCTTACCTGATTTTGAGAACATAAGTTTTTTTTATCCTTCTGATCTATTTTTTATTTTATTTTATTTTATTTTTGAGACAAGGTCTCGCTGTCATGCAGGCTGGAGTGCAGTTGTGTGATATGGCTCACTGCAATCTCTGCTTTCCAGGTTCAAGCTGTTCATCCCTCAGCCACCCGAGTAGCTGAAACTACAGGCTTGCACCACCATGCCTGGTTAATTTTTGTATTTTTAGTAGAGACAGGGTCTCACCATGTTGGCCAGGGTAGTCTTGAACTCCTGGGCTCAAGAGATTGATCAGCCTTGACCTCCTAAGTGCTAGGATTACATGAGCCACTGTGCCCAGCCCTGCTCTATTTTTTAAGGAGGGGTTAAGGGATTGATTTTTACCATTAAATGTTCACAAAACTATTGCTAAACCTCATGTAAATATTGATAATAGATGTTTATTTTTAGGTGTGTATGTATGTGTTTAGTTACAAATTGTGTCTTAAATTTCTACTGGGACCTCTTATCTAGTTCCTGAAGAATTTATGTATAACCCCCTAACCCGATCTTATGGAGAGCCTCATAAACGACCAGAAGTTCAGAATTCAACTGTGGAGTTCATTGCTTCTTCAGATTACATGGTAACTATTCACTGTTAAAATTTGTTGTGGGACACAATTATATTGGTCATTTGTAATTTTCTGTTAAGTGAACTCTTATCAAGATTCTGAAGTTGTTTATACTTATAATTTTTAAAAACAAATTAATGCTGAAAGTTTATATTTAACGAATAGGAAAACTCTTTCTAAAGCTTATTTGATCTCCTAGAAGTCTTTCTATGAATAACAAATATTCTGTCTGTCTTATGATGAGCACTAACGTCTATGATTTATGGCCATTTTGATTTGATTACTTGCATGGAATGGATATACTCTTCTACTATTTAACATTTAAGACTCTCAAAACGGAGAAATGCACATTTTTGCCCAAAACTTAAGTTTTCAGGATCTTAAAGTTATCACTCTTTTACTGGTTCACCAAGTACAGCTATCAAGATAAGTGGATATGGACTTGTCTCTAATTTTTCCTTGTTCAGTTAGAAAACGCTGTTTTTTTAATGATATGAACTCTAAGATCTCATTCTTCTTTTCACTTCAGAAACGAATTCTTGGCCCTAAGTTCTGCTCATCTTCTTTATTGTATCTTCTCATGTTTAACATATTTATAAAAACTATCAGCTGGGCGTGGTGGCTCACACCTGTAATCCCAGCACTTTGGGAGGCTGAGGTGAGTGAATCATCTGAGGTCAGGAATTCCAGACCAGCCTGGCCAACATGGTGAAACCCTGTCTCTACTTAAAATGCAAAAATTAGCTGGGCGTGGTGACACTACCCTGTAATCCCGGCTACTAGAGAGGCTGAGGCAGGAAAATCGCTTGAATGTGGGAGGCAGAGGTTGCAGTGAGCCGAGATTACCCCACAGCAACCAGCCTGGGCAACAGGGCAAGACTACGTCTCAAAAAAAACAAAAAACAAAAAACTATATCTGCCTGTCACTTCATCTCTAATCCTTGTTTTCCACAAAACTTGAAACTGCTGCTAATGAAAATGGTGAAAAGGAGAAACTGATGTTGCATTAAATATTTGGCACCTGGCTCATCTTTATTTTCTTAATTTTTATGTTCTTTTATGTCTAATTTGGCATATGCCCACCTAACTACGATTTTCATGTTTGTTTCTCTATTAACTGTAATAAACTTTCTCTTGGTCACTTTTACTCTCAAGCTCTACCTTCTTTATGATTGATTCCCAACTCTGTTCTGGGTCCTTAGGAATCTTAATCTAATTGAAGTGGTAAAGCAAGAAATAATCTTTTAAGTTTTGCCATATGATTCGTATGGCCCTTGGTTAGCATATTTTTAAAAAGATTTCAAATAGTCTTTTATTTTTACTTTACTTATTTATTTAGTTAATTTTTACTTGAGACAGAGTTTTACTCTGTCACCCAAGGTAGAGACAGGGTTTTACCATGTTGCCCAGGCTGGTATAAAACTCCTGGACTCAAGTAATCCACCTACCTTGGCTTCCCAAAGTGCTGGGATTACAGGCATGAGCCACTGTACCTGGCCTATTTCAACTTTCTATAACAGCAGTTTTCAAGCATACTCCGAAGAAAACAGTATAATGAACCATCCTTTGCCCATCACCAAGCTTTAATAATTATCAACATAAGGACTTTAAAAAAAAATGTATTTACAGGCCAGCCGTGGTGGCTCACACCTGTAATCCCAGCACTTTGCGGGGCTGAGGCAGGTGGATCATCTGATGTCAAGAGTTCATGACCAGCCTGGCTAACATAGTCAAACCTCCCCCTCCCCCATCTCTACTAAAAGTGCAAAAATTAGCCATACATGGTGGTCTGCCCCTATAGTCCCAGCTACTCAGGAGGCTGAGGCAGGAGAATGGATTAAATCTGGGAGGCAGAGATTGCAGTGAGCTGAGATCACACTACTGCACTCCAGCCTGGATGACAGTGAGACTCTTCTCAAAAAAGTATTTACAATATCATCACAGGGACTATTTTTAATCGTTAAGATTCAGTCACCTTCAGGGCACCCAGTAGCTTAGTACTAATGGCAAGTTGTTGGGATGAAATTTTTTTTTTTAGGAAAAGGGAAGGGATGTACATCTAGAGAGCTTAGTATTAAATCATAACCCTAATTTTAAAAAAATGAACTCTTAGCCAATACTCCTTACCAGAAAAACATTTAACGCATCTCTTTAACTGTGGCTGTGTATCAACTGCCTTGTCATGCTTAATCCACAACTAACTAAGAAGAAAAAAAAAAATAAAAAGCATATCATTTTTATGAGCACATATTATAAAACAGCAATCCTATTTGTGTATTTTTTTGTTTAATATATTCAGTAAATGCCCAGTAGTAATAGTGATATATAAAAAGAATAAATTGTACCTACCAAATGAATTACCTTATTTTTTATTCCTTTCAGCTTCGTCCTCCTCAACCTGCAGTTTACTTGTTTGTTTTAGATGTGTCTCATAATGCAGTGGAAGCTGGATATATGACAATTTTGTGCCAGTCACTCTTAGAAAATCTAGACAAGTAAGTATTTTTAATTCATACTATACGTGTGTGTGTGTGTGTGTGTGTATACATATATAAATGTATATAAATATGAAGTGTTAGCAGTTTGTGGGGTTGGTTTTTATTAAGTTTGGTTATATTTCTTTATCAGCTAAAAAGAGTATACTTATGTACCATAGAATAAGGATCCTGATACTCAAGTTATGATTTATGACTTGTTATCTGACTTATAAAATCATAAAAGTCTAATATTTAGTCAGGAATTTAGATCTCATCTAACTGTCTGACTTAGCCAATCTGAGCACAGGGGCCAGAAAACTTGAGTTAGCCAGGATATTGGGAATCTGGATGAGAACTATCAGAAAGACAAAAGATAACATGTTGGTGAGGATGTGGAGAAAAGGGAAACTGCATACTTTAGGGAATGTAAATTAGTACAGCTATTATGGAAAAAAGTATAAAGGTCCCTCAGAAAATTAAAAACAATAATCATATGATCCAGCAAACCCACTACTTGAAATGTATCCAAAGAGAATAAAATCAGTGTGCAGAAGATATATCTGCACCTCATGTTTATTGCAGCATTATTCACAAGAGCCAAGATACATAATCAGACTGAGTATCCATCAACAGATGGATGTATAAAGAAACTGTGGTATATGCACACAATGGAATACTATTCAGCCTTTAAAAATAAGAAAATTTTTCTCATTTATGATACCATGGGTGAACCTGGAGGTCATCACATTAAGCGAAATAAGAACAAATACTGTGTGTTCTCAATGGGAACTAAAAAGGTAAATCTCATAAAAGTCAAGAGTACAGTGTTTGTTACCAGGAATTAGGTTGATGATCATGGGGTGGGAGGTTCTGAGAGATGCTAGTCAAAGTGTAAAAGATAGGAGGAATAAGTTCAAGAGGTCTGTTGTACAACATGGTGACCATAGTTAATAGCAATATGTTGTATTCTTGGAAAAATGCAAGAGATCAGAATTGTTGTGTTCTCACTACAAAAATAATTACTTTGTGAGGCAATGCCTATGTTCATAGCTAGATTTAGCCATTCTATAGTGTCTGTGTGTATGTATATATATATTTCAAAATACCATGTTGTACATAACAGATACACACTTTTTTTCCTGTCAGTTTAAATAAAATTTAAAAAGATAAAAAGGGTTTTTTTTTTTAAATCTGGATGAGAGAAATCTGGCTGTAATGTATGCCTAAGGAAGGAATTTTTTTCACCAACTTACTTCAATTGCACTAATGACAGAATGAGCTGGTTAAAGGGAAGGAGGGAACTGATTTTGTGCTAAATATGTTAGGAAGCCAGAAACTGAGCGTTTTATTTATTTATTTTGAGATAGAGTCTCACTCTGTCACCCAGGCTGGAGTGCATTGGCATGATCTCAGCTCACTGCAACCTCTGCCTTACAGTTCCAGCATTTCTCTTGCCTCAGCCTCCCAAGTAGCTAGGATTACAGGTGCCTACCACCACACCTGGCTAAGAAATTGAGCATTTTGGCACATTAATGAGCCAGATTATGGAAATGGAAATAGCAAGTATAGAATGTATGACTTATACCTGGTTCTAATTCCCTCCTCTGTGTCTACCAAGATTGGTCATGAAGGAGCCCCTCATCTAGCTATAAAAATGAACCTTCCAAATCTCTGGAAAATATGGTTGTTTCCACATTTCTGTTTTACTCTTAATACCCACAAGCAATGTGACTTAAGATTGTTAGTAAGAGTGGTTCACCATTGCAGCGGTTCCTAATGTGTGGAAGTATGGGAGTTGTTATATGTGAATACTTTGTCCCAAGTACTTTGGTGATTCTAAAAGGTTCTCCTCTATCTTCCATTTGAGCTTGAAGAGTCCTTGCCCTGTTGAGTACTACTTAGTCACCATAGTGTGCATATCACGGATCTTGGCCTCAAAGGAAACTGATAACATTAAGATGTTTAAGATTTTTAAAATTCAGAGATACTGAGAGATTTGCTTTTAGTGTTTGTTACTAAACATTTTCATGTTTTTTTGTTTTTGAGACAGAGTTTTGCTCTTATTGCCCAGGCTGGAGTGCAATAGTGCGATCTTCGCTCATCACAACCTATGCCTCCTGGGTTCAAGTGGTTCTCCTGCCTCAGCCTACCAAGTAGCTGGGATTACAGGCATGTGCCACCGTGCCCGGCTTATTTTGTATTTTTAGTAGAGACAGGGTTTCTCCATGTTGGTCAGGCTCATCTCTAATCTCCCGACCTCAGGTGATCTGCCTGCCTCAGCCTCCCAAAGTACTGGGATTACAGGCATGAGCCACCACGCCTGGCCAGTTTTCATGTGTTAATCCTTGGTTGAAGTATTTGCCCCTGCTTTACTCACAAGTGCTTACTTCAAAAATAGCTTTAACAGTGAGTGGCAATGGAAAACTACTGTACAGAGATGATTGGTTGGGTTGTTGTTGATATTTTTGTCTTTTTTTTTTCTTTATTGAGACAGTGTCTTGCTTTGTCACCAGGGTGGGGGACAGTGGTGTGATCTTGGCTCACTTCCACCTCCTCCTCCCAGGTTCAAGTGATTCTTCTGTCTCAGCCTCCTGAGTAGCTGGGACTACAGGTGCGCGCCACCATGCCCAGCTAATTTTTGTGTTTTTAGTAGAGATGGGGTTTTACCATGTTAGCCAGGATGGTCTCAATCTCTTGACCTTGTGATCCGCCCTCCTCAGCCTCCCAAAGTGCTGGGATTACAAGTATGAGCCACCTTTCCTGGCCTTTTTTTATAAGACAGTGGCTTGCTCTGTTTCCCAGGCTGGATTGCAGTGTTGTGATCTCTGCCCACTGCAGCCTTGACTTCCCAAGCTCAAGTGATCCTCTCACCTCAGCCTCCTGAGCAGCTGGGACTACAAGCGCATACCATCACACCCAGCTAATTTTTGTATTTTTAGTATAACGGGGTTTTGCCATGTTTCCTAGGCTGATCTCGAACTCCTGAGCTCAAGTGGTCCACCCAGCTTGACCTCCCAAAGTGCTGGGATTACAGGTGTGAGCCACTGCACCTGGCCTGTTTTCATCTTTAAATACCAAGTTTTAATCCCCCAAGGGGATACACCATTCTTGGAGGTACTATAATACCAGGTTGATGTATGGAGTGGATGGAACAAGCTCCTATTCCGTCACTGTGCTCCAGAAATCCATTTAATCTATTAGCCTTGTAATGAAAAGTATGATATAGGAGCCACACTGACACAGGTGATTGACAACTTTTAAATTAAATAGACTTTGCAAAAGCAAAAGTGTAAAACTGAGAATGGAAAATGTTTTTAAAAATATTTCTATTTGATTACAGTGGAACATAGAAGCACTGGGAAAGTAAAAGAAAAAAGTGATAGAATAGCAACAAATACATTAATATGTTTTTAGAAAGGGCTCTAGAAACTTCTTTGAGAAAGGAGTTTGATACTGGAGCAGTTTCAGATCAACTCAATATATTTTTAGCTTGGGGTAGGTCAGTAGTCTCCTCTAACCAGTAACAAATGACCCCACCGCTCAGTGATCTTTGAAGTCTCACAGTAGTGAAGATCAGTCTGGAAACATCATAAATATTGCCCATATTGGTAAGCTGAACATCCACATAACTTGTTGCATTCTATTTTCTGAAAATGCTCTTGACCTGCCTTGCAGACTGTATCTGAATTACCTTGTCAACCATCCATAGCAGTAATAATGCTTCTTGCTTTGTTGCATGTTCTATTTTGGCATTCTATAATAACCAAAAATATTTTAAAGGCATTGCTAAAACAGCAAATTACTTAGTTGGTGGTACTAAGTAATATACTTCTGTAAGATGAAGCACCTATCTTATTAATAAAGAAAGCTTGACAGGCAATGAAATGGTAATTTATTCTTTTATACTGTGGCATCAACTTTTGAAAACTGAGCTCTAACAACATTTTTAAAGATTAATGATAGATAAAATGTTTCAGTATTCATAAATGTGGGTTTTATTTAAAATTTTACACATTAAAATCTGATTTGCAATTATATTCAATATTTTCTTGGGAAATACTCATTTGTCATTTTGCCTTTAAAATGCTTAAGCAAGACATACTATTGTTCTAATATTGGAACTGGAAATATGGGTAAGTTTTCACTTTGGTCATCTTCTCTGATATATATTTGTTTAGATAGGGATAATTTTTCTGTCCCCTATAAAAAAGCATATGTGTAATTATCCTTAGACTTAAATTACTATTTCATTATTTTCTGAAATGAAATATGTTACTGAGCACTTTGAATTTAAAATTGTCATTTTTTTTTTCTTTAGGCTTCCTGGAGATTCACGAACAAGAATAGGATTCATGACCTTTGATAGCACTATTCATTTCTACAATTTACAAGAAGGATTATCGCAGCCTCAAATGTTGATTGTGTCTGATATAGATGGTAAGCAGTCAGTAAAATAAAAGTCTTTCTAACTATAGACTTTGAAATGGGGGCTACTTTATTTGCTATATGCTCTGAGGAGAATGTCATACGCTCTAGTATTTTTTCAAAATAATTGTTTTTCTGGAAATACTTGATTCTAAGTTATTTACACCTGTGTATGTATTACAAACACACTTGTAGAATATATAGAGTATGTGTGTTTAATAAAGCAATATTATGGTACATATTACATATATGACCTGATAAAAACTAAGATTTTCAATGTATTCTTTCACTTGATTTGTTGATTAAAATACATGTTTTTCCCTATAGATGTTTTTCTACCTACACCGGATAGTTTACTTGTGAATCTATATGAAAGTAAAGAGGTAAGATCAATTTATTTTCTTAAAGCATAAAAATATTTATATTTCAACTGGTAACTAAAATGTTTAACGTTTCTTTACTTGCTATATTAATAGTACAAATAATAGACAATGTAAGTGGCATATCTATTGACCCCTCAGTTTCCGTCCCCAGAAATACAGTGACGCATGATATACTATGGACTGTTTTAAAAGATTATTCCTTTGCCTTCTCAGTAACTTAACTTTTGATCTTTGTTTTCCCAGCTTATAAAAGACTTACTGAATGCATTACCAAATATGTTCACCAATACAAGAGAAACACACAGTGCCCTTGGTCCTGCACTTCAGGCTGCCTTTAAATTAATGTCTCCAACAGGTGGCCGTGTGTCTGTATTTCAAACACAATTACCTTCTTTGGGTGCAGGACTTCTGCAATCCAGAGAAGATCCTAATCAGAGATCGAGTACAAAGGTATTTTATATTTAGTTTTTTGTCATATTCAAGATTGTGTAATTATTTATTAGTCTACTTTTTTTTTTTTAACTTTTCTACTTCATTAATAATAAACTAACGAGAGAGTTTTTAGCTCAAATTCTGTTTTTGTTTTTGTGTCACAGTATGTTCTTTTTATTACTTTGTAAGTCATAGAAATTTAGAAATCATTTAGTCTAACAGTTTCATTTTATAGATGAGGAAGTCGAGTATCTAAAGGTTAAATAAATACTTAATGTTAAAAATGTGACTTGATTTTTCTGACTCCAGTGTTCTTTTCTATTACACAAGTGGTAAAACTTAGTAAATGTGAGCTCTTGTAATTCAACATGCTCATACTAATATATTTTGTGATTATAAAGATAACATAGAGCATTATATATAACACTTGGAAAGTGGAGAAAAGCATAAATCATCAGTAATCTAACAAGATAATAGCATTTAGTTATATAAACATACAAATAAGCATAATTGGGCATCATATATGCATATATATATATGTATTTTTAACTGGCCTTTTTCATTGGAGAGTATATTGTGACCATTCTCTGAAGTCACAGAGAAAGTAAATATGAAAGTAATCAATTAATTGATTGCTTTTCAGCTATCGAATAGTTTGTCTTCAGTATTTTTTTTTTCTTTTGTTTTTTAAAAGTAGAGACAAGAACTTGCTGTGTTCCCTAGGCTGGCCCCAAACTGCTGAGATCAAGCAATCCTCCTGCCTCAGCCCTCCAGAGTGCTGTGATTACAGTTATGAGCCAGACCTGTATTTTTACTACTTTTTAAAAAGGGCTGGGTGTGGTGGCATCTGTCTGTAACCATAGCTACTCAAGAGGCTGGGGCTAGAGGATCATTTGAGCTTACGAGTTCTAAACCAGCTTGGGCAATGTAACAAGACCCCATCTCAAAAAATAACAATAGCCAGGTGCAGTGGCTCAGGCTCACACCTGTAATCTCAGCACTTTGGGACGCCAAGGAGGGTGGATCACTTGAGTCTGGGAGTTTAAGAACAGCATGGTCGGCCGGGCACGGTGGCTCCCGCCTGTAATCCCAGCACTTTGGGAGGCCGAGGCGGGTGGATCATGAGGTCAAGAGATCGAGACCATTCCTGGTCAACATGGTGAAACCCCGTCTCTACTAAAAATACAAAAAATTAGCTGGGCATGGTGGCGCGTGCCTGTAATCCCAGCTACTCAGGAGGCTGAGGCAGGAGAATTGCCTGAGCCCAGGAGGCGGAGATTGTGGTGAGCCGAGATCGCGCCATTGCACTCCAGCCTGGGTAAAAAGAGCGAAACTCCGTCTCAAAAAAAAAAAAAAAAAAAAAAAACAGCATGGCCAACATTGCAAAACCCTGTCTCTACTAAAAATACAAAAATTAGCCGAGTACAGTGGTGCATACCTGTAATCCCAGCTAATCGGGTGGCTGAGGCAGGAGATTCTCTTGAACCCAGGAGGCGGAGGTTGCAGTGAGCTGTGATCACTGACACTGCACTCCAGCCTGGGCAACAGAGTGAGACTGTCTCAAAAAAAAAAAAGAACACAGTAATAATAATAAAATATTATTTATTTATTATACAAAGCTGAACATTACTTGGGTTTTATGTGAAGATTTGGTCAGGGCATTTTAAAGCCCCTATTTCAAACAAATGAACTAAAATATTCATTTTTCTTTTGTATAAGTTTGTTCTGGCCTCAGTATTTGAGAAACTGTCATAAGTAGTTATGAATATGAATTAAACAGTTTTAATAGTGTCATAAATCTTTAACCACATATCTAGTTTTGCCTTAGGATAAATACCTAGAAGTGAAATTATTCCTAGAAGTGAAGTATTTGGGTTAAAGGGCATAATCTTTATTTAAGTTATTAAATAATGTTTTGTTTATTGGCTTTTTTTAATCAAACTCTTCTTATGGATTCTCATCCTGTAACTACCATTAGTGTTGCTTTTTTATTCTTCACCAATATGCTAGAGAAAAAAGGCACCATATTTCACTGTTTATAGACATTGTATTTTTAAATTACATTTGAGAAGGAAGCTAATTTTAAAATAAGCATATTGTTTAAACTCATCAACAAGTGTAGCTGGCATTTATTTCATTGATACATTAAATTACTGTGGTGTTTTCAACACAGGAAGCTGTTATATATTTACTGAATCCTTTGATAGAGTTTCGTTTGTTTTTTTCTCATTTAACTTTCAAAAATAGCCGGGCGCGGTGGCTCAAGCCTGTAATCCCAGCACTTTGGGAGGCTGAGGCGGGTGGATCACGAGGTCAAGAGATCGAGACCATCCTGGTCAACATGGTGAAACCCCATCTCTACTAAAAATACAAAAAATTAGCTGGGCATAGTGGCGTGTGCCTGTAATCCCAGCTACTCAGGAGGCTGAGGCAGAGGAACTGCCTGAACCCAGGAGGCGGAGGTTGCAGTGAGCCGAGATCGCGCCATTGCACTCCAGCCTGACTAACAAGAGCGAAACTCCGTCTCTTAAAAAAAAAAAAAAAAAAACTTTCAAAAATATTCTTTGTCTTGGACTCTAAAGTTTTAGTATCTGTTCTGGTTTACATACTCCTTCATATCTTTAATTCCTTATATTAGAGTAAGCTCTAATATAATCGTCATGCAGTATAATTAAGAGGATTGAAACATTTTGTTAGGAAGTATAGCGTGGTGATTAAGAACTTGGAGACACTCTCCCCAGTGTCACCTTCTCAGCTCAAGTCTTCTCATACCAAAAGAAACACCTTCCCTAATCTTTTACTCTTTTATGTTGTTATGTAACAGTTTTTAACAATGGTTAATAGCACTCATTCTGTAGCCAGATTTCTTGGGTTAATATTCCAAGATTCACCTCTCAATATCTGTGTATTCTTGGTCAAGTTACTTAATCAGTTATTGCCTCAGTTTCTAATCTGTAAAATGTAGATAAAAACCATGTGAGACATGTGTTATGAAAATTAAATTACTCAATTTTTGTGAAACGTAATTATTCAATTTGTGTGAAACACCTTAAATAGTGCTGGCACATAAGTGTTTTTTTTATAAAGATTAGCTGTCATTATTATCATAGGAAACCACCAAATGCCTAGACATTTAAAAAACACCCAAGTTTGATAGGGAGGCAGAGGACATCCTTTTTTTATTATAAAACATGAAAATATGCGCATAAAAATTTCTAGTTCTTACTTTATGATCTGTTGACTTAGGTGGTACAGCATCTTGGCCCTGCAACTGATTTTTATAAGAAACTTGCATTAGATTGCTCAGGACAGCAAACTGCAGTGGATTTGTTCCTTTTAAGTTCACAATATTCTGATCTTGCTTCTCTAGGTAAGGAGAGTCATCATGTGTACATTTGTTTAAATAAACACGTTTAGTACATAATTAAGTCTAAACTCCTCAGTAAGCGTTCTCAATATTTTAGGAAGAAAGGCATGTGGATTAGATAGACAATATCTATGAAGATTACCAGTAAAGTTTAAAGCTCTATACAAATATAAAATGTCACTAGTATTTTGTTTATATAGCGTGGTTCTCTTACCATTCTGCTCAACAGGAAACTTTATCGTATATTTTATAGATGTTACTATTTTCTCAGATTTATATGTTCTTATTTTGATGGCGTAGGTTTTCTCATGACTTAGATTTCTTCATAATATATAATCTGTAGAATCTGTACTACTCTCGGAAAAGTAGAATATTATTTCTGTAGCTAATACGTTTTGTATTTTTCTCTAAAGCTTGCATGTCCAAGTATTCTGCAGGGTGCATCTATTACTATCCATCATTTCACTCTACTCACAATCCTTCACAAGCAGAAAAGTTACAAAAAGACCTAAAACGGTATCTCACAAGAAAGATTGGATTTGAAGCTGTTATGAGAATAAGGTGTACTAAAGGTATGAAGTAGTAAAAATTATGCTTTATATTAAATACTTGTATCAAAATCAGTGAGCATTGGAAGACTGATCTGGTTAGCCATACCATGTTTTAAATAGATAGTTATTAAATAATTCTTGCCCAATTTTAAAAAATAGCTTGAATAAGTAGACAAAAGTAATGTTTGGTTTACTCAGAAGAACCTAAGAGAAAGCCTACATTAGAAATGATTTTAGAAGGAGAATTAAGAGGAATAGGGAAGTCAAATTAAGACTCTTTGCCTTCATGATCGTTTAATGTATACTTCCTTGGTTTTATGTGAATACTTGTTTAATACTTTATTTTACCTTTATATAACGTGCACTGGTTTTTTGAATTAATATTTTAGAAACTCTGCCTGTGCTTGAAACTTACCCCCAGTTATCCTTTTGATTCAAAATCATGAATATGTTTGATTTTAACTTTAGCTTGAGGTGAAGATACTATTGTTAACTTCATTTTTTATATCATTTTCTTCTTTTTAGGTCTTTCCATGCACACTTTTCATGGTAACTTCTTTGTCCGTTCTACTGATTTGTTATCCCTTGCCAACATCAATCCTGATGCTGGATTTGCTGTGCAGTTGTCAATTGAAGAAAGTTTAACAGATACTTCCTTAGTGTGTTTTCAGACAGCCCTATTATATACATCAAGCAAAGGTAATGTTAACAGAAATGAAATAAAGTGTGCAGCAGTTTCTCCCCTCCTTTCACATGGCCTTTAGTGGAGTGGGGAAAAAGAATGAATACACAGTGGGAAGTAATGGAATTTGCATTAGGGTTAAGCAAATATATGTTGTTATTTTCTTTTTTTAACTCCTATTTTGAAGCTGTAGTATACTGTTTTTAATTTATGGAAGACTTATATCCATAGAATCTTGTTTCAAAACAATTAATGCCAAATCCAGCTGTGCCATTCTTTGTAATATTTCTTGCCCCATAAAGTAAAAAACTGCTTAGCAATTAAGGCCTTCATTTGTTATTTGACAATCTAAGTTTTCTGATATTTTACTCTTTGGGATATAATTTAGAATGAGTGATGTTAAAGTAAAAACTAGAACCTAATATTCATCTATATACAAAGTATAGCATATGTTCATACTCTGCAGATTTAGAGAGTGTTCAATTTTCTTTAAAAAGCGTTAATTGTAAGACTTTGTTTTTACATTGCAAAATCCTGTTGGTGATATAATCTAGCCAAAACAATAACTTGAATAAAAATTTGACTTGTAGCCAGGTGCAGTGGCTCATGCCTGTAATTCCAGCACTTTGAGAGGCCGTGGCAGGTGGATTTCCTGAGGTCAGGAGCTTGAGACCAGCCTGGCCAACATAGTGAAACCCCACCTCTACTAAAAATACAAAGACTAGCCAGGCATGGTGGCAGACGCCTGTAATCCCAGCTACCCAGGAGGCTGAAGCAGGAGAATCACTTCAGCCTGGGAGGCGGAGGTTGCAGTGAGCTGAGATTGAGCCATTGCACTTCTGCCTGGGAAACAGAGTGAGACTCTGTCTCAAAAAAAAAAAAATCGACTTGTTTACTCTGCTTTATTTCCTTTTTGATCTAATGTATTTTCAATGACTTTTTTTTTAGGTGAGCGGAGAATTAGAGTACATACACTTTGTTTGCCAGTGGTAAATTCACTAGCAGATGTATATGCAGGAGTGGATGTACAAGCCGCCATCTGCCTTCTGGCAAACATGGGTGAGTAAAAATTGAAGGAACAGGTGAAATGTATTTTTCTACCTTAGAAACTGAAGCTTGGGGCCGGGCGCAGTGGCTCAAGCCTGTCATCCCAGCACTTTGGGAGGCCAAGGCGGGTGGATCACAAGGTCAAGAGATGGAGAACCATCCTGGTCAACATGGTGAAACCCCGTCTCTACTACAAACACAAAAAATTAGCTGGGCATGGTGGCGCATGCCTGTAATCCCAGCTACTCAGGAGGCTGAGGCAAGAGGCGGAGGTTGCGATGAGCCGAGATCGCGCCATTGCACTCCAGCCTGAGTAACGAGCGAAACTCCGTCTCAAAAAAAAAAGAAATTGAAGCTTGGCCAGGCACAGTAGCTCACACCTGTAATCCCAGCACTTTGGGTGGCCGAGGCTGGCAAATCACAAGGTCAGGAGTGGAGTTTGAGACCAGCCTGGCCAACATGGTGAAACCCCGTCTCTACTAAAAATACAAAAAATTAGCTGGGCATGGTAGTGTGTTCCTATAATCCTAGCTACTCGGGAGACTGAGACTGGAGAATTGCTTGAACCTGGGAGGCAGAAGTTGCATAGTGCTGAGACCGTGCCACTGCACTATAGTCTGGGCAACCGAGTAAGACTCTGTCTCAAAAAAAAAAAAAACTGAAGTTAGGGTTTTCTCTTATTTAAAAAGCGTATAATTTACATTTTTATTTACTGCAATATTAGTCTTTATATTTCTTTGCTTCTTTCAGAATCTTTGGGGGAATTCATAATCTCTAAAAATACGGTTAAAAACTGAAATGTCGGCCGGGCGTAGTGGCTCACGCCTGTAATCCAAGCACTTTGGAGGCCAAGGCGGGAGGATCACCTGAGGTCGGGAGTTCAAGACCAGCCAGACCAACATGGTGAAACCCCGTCTTTAAAAAAAAATTTTTTTTTAAACTGAAATGTCCTTTAAATAATGTATGCAGAAACCATGGTACACTCATACGTAGAATATAATTCAATAGTAAAAAGGAATGAACTATCAATACTTGAACAAACATGGCTGCCTCTCAAAGACATTCTGCTAAATGAAAGAAGCTAGACTTGAAAAGCTGCTAAGGCCCGGTGCAGTGGCTCACGTCTGTAATCCTAGCACTTTGGGAGGCTGAGGTGGGCAGATCACCTGAGGTCAAGAGTTTGAGACCAGCCTGACCAATATGGTGAAACCCCATCTCTAATAAAAATGTAAAAATTAGCTGGGCGTGGTGGCAGGTGCCAGTAGTCCCAGCTACTCATTGCTTGAACCTGGAAGGTGGAGGTTGCAGTGAGCCAAAATCATGCCATTGCACTCCAGCCTGGGTGACAGAGTGAGACTCCATCTCAAGAAAAATGAAAAAAAAAAAAAAAAAAAAAGCTGCGTAGGCCACTTTTGGTGGCTCATGCCTGTAATCCCAGTACTTTGGGAAGCCAAGGTGGGTGGATCACCTGAGGTCAGGAGTTGGAGACCAGCCTGACGTGGTAAAACCCTATCTCTACCAAAAATACAAGAAAAAAATTAGCTGACTGTGGTGCTGCATGCCTATAATCCCAACTACTTGGGAAGTTGAGGCAGGAGAATCCCTTGAACCCGGGAGGCGGAAGTTGCAGTGAGCCAAGGACAAACTACCATACTCCTGCCTAAGTGACAGAGCAAGACTTCTGTCTAAAAAAAAAAAAAAAGCTGCCTACAAATGATTTTATTTATATGACATTCAAGAAAATGGAAAATTATCAAATAGAGACTCATCAGGGTTGAGGCTAAAGGAAGGAGGGTTTTACTGCAAAGGGGCAGTATAGAGGGGTAATTTTGGGGGTGATGGAACTATTGTGTATCCTGATTGTGGTAGAGATTATATAGCTATGCATTTGATACATAACCACTATAGAACTGTACTGAAATTAATTTTACTATATGTAAGTCTGAGAAAATCCTTTTGAGAATTAACATAGCACTTAATGTTTTCTTTCTTTCTTTTTTTTTTTAATAAAGATGGGGTTTCACCATGATGGCCAGGCTGGTCTTATTCCTGACCTCATGTGATCCACCCACCTTGGCCTCCCAAAGTGCTAGGGTTACAGGTGTGAGACATGGCACCTGGCCTCTTTTTTTTTTTTAAGATGGAATTTTGCTCTTATGCCCATGCTTGAGCACAATGGCAAGATTTCAGCTCACTGCAACCTCTGCCTGCCAGGTTCAAGCAATTCTCCTGCCTCAGCCTCCTGAGTAGCTGGGATTACAGGCATGCATCACCAGGCCTGGCTAATTTTGTATTTTTAGTAGAGATGGGGTTTCTCCATGTTGGTCAGGCTGGTATCGAACTCCTGGCCTCAGGTGATCCACCCGCCTTGGCCTCCCAAAGTGCTGGTATTAAACAGGCATGAGCCACTGTGCCCAGCCAGCACTTAATGTTTTCAGTGAATTAGCCTTGTAGATGAATTCAGACATGAAACAAGCTTTGCTATTTTCCACATAATCCTAGAAAAAGATGGTCATTAATGCTAATTTGGGGAAAATTATAATAGCATTTACTAAAGGAGCCAAATTTTTTTTTTAATAAATAATGGAAGTATTTAATTAGGCTGAGTGTGGTGGCTCATGCCTGTAATCCAGCACTTTGGGAGGCTGAAGCAGGTGGATCGGATAACTTGCCCACAGGAGTTCAAGACCAGCTTTTCAATAGGGTGAGACCCTGTCTCTACTAAAAATACAAAAATTAACCAGGCATGGTGGTGCACACCTGTGGTCCCAGCTGCTCGGGAGGCTGAGGCAGGAGAATCTGTTGAACCCAGGATGTGGAGGTTGCATTGAGCTGAGATCGCACCACTGCACTCCAGCTTGGGCAACAGGGAGACTCTGTCTCGGAAAAAAAAAAAAGGATTTAATCAGATTAATTAAAATATTTAACTAAAATCAGAGACTTGTATATCAGATTTTCTTTTATTTTTAAATTTTAACTTTTGTTTTTGATTCAAGGGGTACATATGTAGATTCTTGTGATGGGATCAGTTTTGTACCCCAAACTCAAGATCCAAATTTTTAAAGTATAATTTTATATGTAGATTTTGAATTAATTATACCATAACCAGTTGTTTTTCAATATAATTTTATTTTTAGTGCTTGGGCGCATGTATGTGTGTGTGTGTGTGTGTGTGTGTGTGTGTGTGTGTGTATGTAAAATGTTATCCCTATTTTAATAGAATATATTATTGGAGAAAAATAAGTTTCGCATTACCTATCTCTTCAGTGGATGCATGAAAACCTGTCTTCATTTTTCCCTTTCAAAAAATTTGTTGGTTTGGAATACTTTACAAAAATTGTAGAGGATCACAAGGTATAACTCAGATTGTAGAATTTACATTGGTTGGGCAGAAAAAATGATACATATGACTTGGTGTTTGAGTAATGGACACCTTCCCAAGGCTTTTTCAGAAGTAAATGGAAAATATGCATTTCACTAGTATCAATAGTGGCTACATGCTTTTGGGTTTGTTTTTAGACAGGGTCCTGTCTGTCACCCTTGCTGGAGCGCAGTGGTACGATCACAGGTCACGGCAGCTTCGACCTCCCACGCTCAAACAATCCTCCTACTTCAGCCTCCCGAATAGCTGGGACTACAGGCCCATGCCACCATGCCCAGCTAATTTTTTTTTTTGTAGAGATAAGGTCTCCTGTGTTGCCTAATCTGTTGTTGAACTCCTGGGCTCAAGTGATTCTCCCACCTTGGCCTCCCAAAGTGCTGGGATTACAGGCATGAGCCACCATACCCAGCCTGGCTAAATAGATTTAAGAGATTAAAACAAAAATGTCCAAAAGCATCTAGATTTGTTCTGATTGATTTATTTCAGAAAAAAAATTGTATGAGAATACACTTGAAATAAGGGAGCAGATAAAATGCATTTTTTAATCCAAAAAACTTAGCTAAATTTTGTTTCTTAAATGATGCAAATAAATTTTCTCCCTTATAGTGTCCATTGGATTCTAATGGTTAAAATGTCTTTTATTTTGGTTGCTTTATAGCTGTGGATCGGTCCATTTCATCAAGTCTATCAGATGCACGAGATGCCTTAGTGAATGCTATAGTGGACTCATTGTCTGCATATGGCTCAACTGTCTCAAACTTACAGCACTCTGCGTTGATGGCGCCCAGCTCCCTCAAGTTGTTTCCTCTCTATGTTTTGGCCCTTCTCAAACAGGTAGCTCTCTATACATTGCTGTCTTTAATAATGTATTTTAAAATTCTCAGATACGTATATGAAGAAAGGAAATCTATGTTGTTGTTTTTTAATACTTAACTAGAGGATTATTCACTTTAACATTGAAAGAGTTTTGAAGAATAGAAAAAGATTAATGGGGCTGGGCATGGTGGCTCATGCCTGTAATCCCAGCATTTTGGGAGACCGAGGCAAGTGGATTGCCTGAGGTCAGGAGTTCGAGACCAGCCTGGCCAACATAGTGAAACCCCATCTCTACTAAAAATACAAAAATTAGCTGGGCATGGTGGTGTGTGCCTGTAATCCCAGCTACTCAGGAGCCTGAGGCAGGAGAATCGCTTAAACCTGGGAGGTGGAGGTTGCAGTGAGCCAGGATCATGTCACTGCACTCCAGTCAGGGCAACAGAGCGAGACTCCATCTCAAAAAAAAAAAGAAAAAAAAAAAAATCAATGGAAAATGAAGGTACACAAATTACGTGATGACTTTAATGAAACCATATTCTCTCTTTAATGTGTGTGAGCAGTTTGCATAATGGTGCAGTCATAACTCACTCTTAATATGTCCTGGAAAGAGAGTCTAAGGACAGAATCTAATACTTAACAAGCATCTTTCCATGTTTCTGGCACCATAAAAGGTGTCCGTGCTTCATTTTATTTAATCCTTTCAACAACCTAACAAGCTATTATTTTTCCTGTTTTTCTCATGATGACAACAATGTAGCTCATAAGAGCTAAGTAACTTGCTCCAGCCTCACAAACCTATTAAATATCATAGCTGAGAATTGAATCAAGGTCTGTCTGATTTAAAGGCCATGCTTTTTCCATGACTGATAGTGTATAATTGTTTTAATATTCATCTGCCATGTTTGTATTTTACTTGAAAATGTTTGTCTTTTTCCATGTAGAAAGCATTTAGAACGGGTACAAGCACACGCCTGGATGATCGTGTATACGCCATGTGTCAGATAAAGTCTCAGCCACTTGTTCATCTGATGAAAATGATTCATCCCAACTTATACAGGATAGACAGATTGACAGATGAGGTATGCATTTTAGTGCATTTGAAATTTTTAAATTTGAATATATTTGAGTGTCTTGATTCTATAGCTAAGATGGTAATACACTATCAACTGGTTTTTCTTTGTAACTCTTTTCCCCCTTGTGATAGTAATTCATTAAATAAGGACACTGGCTGTGGATATGATTGAATGGCAGGACTTTCAGATACCATTAGTGGTTTAGAATTTTTAAAAATAGTTTCATATCAGAAGTAATTTATCCTGTAGGTTTGGTTATAATGTGTATTACAAAGCTAATTTGTAGAGTGGACATTTCCATTTATATTTTGTAGATATTGACTGCTTCAATTTTTTTTTTTAAAGATAGTCTTCTTCTGTCAACCAAGCTGGAGTACAGTGGTGCAATCTTGGCTCACTGCAACCTCTGCCTCCTGGGTTCAAGCTATTCTGCTTCAGCCTCCTGAGTAGCTGGTATTACAGGCACATATTGCCACGCCTGGCTAATTTTTGTATTTTTAGTAGAGACAGAGTTTCACCATGTTGGCCAGGCTGGTCTGGAACTCTTGACCTCAAGTGATCCGCCCATCTCAGCCTCCCAAAGTGCTAGGTTTACAGGTGTGAGCCACCACACCCAGCCAATATTGACTGCTTCTGATAAGATCAGTTGCAGTTTTGATTATATAGTAAACCAAATTTGATATCCAATAATAATTTTAATATGCAAATATGTAGTCTTTTATCTTCCTTGTGTGAAAGCTATATTCTTTGGAATTAGTATTAATTCCAAGCATAATGTATGTTGCCAAAGAAATGTAAAAAAGTAGTTGGCTATGCAACAGAGTCAATAGTCACACATGTAATATATTCTGACCCCACCCTAAAAGGGAAGGGAATATGACAGATCATTTTATGTATTCATGTTTTTACATTTTAAATTTGAATACAGTTGAGTGTCTTGATTCTACAACCAAGGTGTTAGAATAAAATCAGTATTTTTTTGCATCATACAAAACTTCCAAGTGTTATTTTCCAGTGCTTCATAAAGGGTTACTGACCATTAGCTCCCAAACTGTGATGATAGTAATGTAATCTTATGCACATTCTCTCTTTTTCTTTTCAGGGTGCAATACATGTTAATGACAGGATTGTACCACAGCCACCTCTTCAAAAACTGTCTGCAGAGAAGCTGACAAGAGAAGGTGCTTTCCTTATGGACTGTGGCTCTGTAAGCAACTTCTTCTGGCAAAGCTTACCACTGTTTGAGCTAACAAAAAAAAAAAAATACTTTAGGGTCCAGCTGTTATCACAGAGGCAGGCAGTGAAAAGTGAATTAGGAATAGGAGCTGAAATTGGTAACTGACACTAGAGGTGAATTTACTTAAACTTTTCTATTTAGACTTCATTTTATATTGATGTTATTGATATTTGGATTGATAGTACTGATAGAGTAATATATTTTAATATGTATTGTTTACTGTCATGAATTATATATACTTGATGAAGAGAACTCATGAGGTAAATTCCTGTCTTCAGGGACTTTTCATCTAAAGTCTAGAATTTAAAAGTATTTCAAGAGTTTATCTAGTTCAACTTACATTTACTGTCAGAAATCTCATTAATGATTAGGAGTTCAAGAGAAGTCACTGGTCAGGGGTAGTAGTTGAAGGGTGTCAGAATGGTTAAGATGGCTTCAAAATGATGCCTTTTGAGCAGGAAAAGGATTTGGATAGCCACAGAAGAGGGAGAAATGCATGAGTTAAAATATACAGACAATAATTGAAATAGTGGATAGGAAATACCATGAGTCAATTGCACTGATTAGAGGATTATATTTCTATTGGGAAAATAAGTACAAAAGGTAAAATACATTTTATGGGAAGCCTTAACATTTGATCAAAGAAAATGTGTACCACTCTGGATTCTTAGATAGAGATTCACAATGTAACAATTATAGATTTCCTTTTTACTCTTATGTTTGTTCCTACCTTATTTGAGGTGATAATTTTGATAAAATTAACTAAAATGAGTTATCTTAATTGTTAGGGAGTTTTAATATGTTGGTTTTTGTTTTTAGGTTTTTTACATTTGGGTTGGGAAAGGCTGTGACAATAACTTCATAGAGAATGTGCTTGGATATCCTAATTTTGCATCAATACCACAGAAAATGGTCAGTTGATTTTATACACTATTAACTTTTTGTTTGCTCCATTTTTATTTTTTAATTGATGTAAAATTCATATAATATTCATGATTTTAAAATGTACAGTTCAGTGTTTTTTAGTATCACACCATGTTTTACAACCATTACCACTGTTTAGTTTCAGAACATTAATATCACCCTAAAATGAAAACCATATCTCGCAATTCTTCCCTATCCTTGCCCCCAGGCAGCTACTAATCTACTTTGTATCTATGGATTTGTCTATTCTGGATATGTTATATAAATGGCAATATATGGTTTTTGTGTTTGGCTTCTTTCACTTTCTGTAATGTTTTTAAGATTCATTCATGTTGTAGCTTATATTAGTAGTTCTTTTTCTTGTTTTGTTTTTTTTTCTAAACAGGATCTTGCTCTGTCACCCAGACTGAGTAGTACAGTGGCTTAATAATGGCTCACTACAGCCTCGACCTCCTGTGCTTAAGTGGTCCTCTCACTTCAGCCTCCTGAGTAGCCGGGACCACAGGAGTGTGCCACCACTTAGGCTAATTTTTTTTAGTTTTTTGTAGAGATGGGGTATCCCTGTGTTGCCCAGGCTGGTCTCGAGCTCCTGGACTCAAGCAGTCCTCCTACCTTGGCCTCCGAGAGTGGTGGGATTACAGGCGTGAGTCAATGTGCCTGGCCAGTTTTTTCTTTTTTATGACTAAAAAATTGTCCATTGTATGGACATACCACATTTTGATCATCCATTCATCCACTGATGGATATTTCAGTTGTTTCTACTTTGGAACTGTTGTGAATAGTGCTATGATGAATGCTTGTATACAGGTCTTTGTGTGAACATATGTTTTCAGTTCTCTTGGGCATATCACTAGGAGTATAATTAGTGGGTCACATAACTCTGTGTTTAACTGAGGAACTGCCAAACCGTTTTCCAACAACTTTAACTTTATATTTAAATTATTTTGCTAATACTAAACATAATTTTTTCAGTAGGATTTTACTGAATGTATGCTAACCAATACCAAGGAAATATGATTCTGAAAACAGATTTGTATAAATTAATTAACTGAAAGGGAAGGCTGACCTACTTTATTGCGTTAGATACTATAAACATATCCTTTTCTCTGAAATTAATATAAATTCAGTGTAATTCTTTTTACAATCTCTCATTGTTTTTTTTTAAATGTTGACAAATTATCCAAAAGTTCATTTTTAAAACCCAACAAATGAGGATAATAAGAAAATGAAAAGGGAGAATAACGCCAGCGAAGGGGGAAATAGATGAAAAATAAATTCTAAGTAAAATAGTAAACCTCATTTTAAAGCTGTAATTATTTAAGTACCTTGATACTGGCATAGTAAACAGATCAGTGGAACAGAATAGAGTTCTGAAATAGATCTAATTAATGAAGAACACAGTGTGGTAAAGATTGCATTTCAAATTATTGTGGGGAAATGGAACATTAGAAAAATAATCTTGGGTCCACTGATTAGTCATTAAGGAAAAATCATGGCTGGATATTTAACTTATTCCTTATATCAAAATAACTTTCAAATGGATCATACATGTAAACTTAAAAAGGAAACTATGCAGATCACTGGAAGAAATATTTGTGCATGTTTATGATTTTTTTATGATATTAAAATGAGTAAGGCCTTTGTAAGTCAGTGATTCAAAAGATCAAAAGCATAAATATTAAACATTTCTATTCGGTAAAAATAAATAAAACCAAAATACAAACAAAATCTTAAGATTATCTGTAACTGGCCGGGCGCAGTGGCTCAAGCCTGTCATCCCAGCACTTTGGGAGGCCGAGGCGGGTGGATCACGAGGTCAAGAGATGGAGACCATCCTGGTCAACATGGTGAAACCCCATCTCTACTACAAATACAAAAAATTAGCTGGGCATGGTGGCGCATGCCTGTAATCCCAGCTACTCAGGAGGCTGAGGCAGGAGAATTGCCTGAACCCAGGAGGCAAAGGTTGCGGTGAGCCGAGATCGCGCCATTGCACTCCAGCCTGGGTACCAAGAGTGAAACTCTGTCTCAAAAAAAAAAAAAAAAAAAAGATTATCTGTAGCTAATAGGACTGGAAAAGAGCTAACTTCTCTATAAAAAATTATCTTACAAATCTTTAAGAAGACCTTCCTTACTTTCTACCTCCTCTAAAGAAACCTGGGTAAAGGATTTTAACAGGCAATTTATAAAGGAAAAATAAAGTAGAGGTCAAACGAAACAATATTTAGCCTCACTCATAATCAGGAAAAAAGTAGTAATGTAGCATTTCTTTCATTTACCAGGTTGTCAATAATTTTTAAATTTGATAGTAGGCAATTATATAGATAGTATGGGCCAGTGGACACTGTCAAGCACTGTTGACTGGAGTATGTAGTACTTATATAACTTTTTGGAGAGCCATTTGACAATGTCTGTTAAAATCATGTTCTTTTTCACACAGTAAATTATTCTGCAAAGAATATATCTCATAGATGTATTCATAGAAGTAGGTATATGTACACACATGCTTATAATATTAAATAATAGCTGTGAATTTATTAAAAAGAATACAGTCTGGGGCACTGAGCTATGCTGTGAATTTATTAAATAATAGCTGTGAATTTATTAAAAAGAATACAGTCTGGGGCACCGTGCTATGCACTTGTGGTCCCAGCTACTTGGGAGGGTAGGACGCAGGCAGGAGGATTGCTTGAGCCCAGAAATTTAAAGCTGTAATGCACTATGACTGTACCTATGTACAGCCATTGCACTCCAGTCCGGGCAACCTAGCAAGACCCCATCTCTTTAAAAAAAAAAAAAGAGAGAGAAAAGAAAAATACAGTCTGAAGTGAATAGTATTATATGATCCCTATTTGTATTTTCAAAAATGTGTTTGTGTACTTACTAATAATTTCGAAAACATCTGAAAAAATTCACATCAAAATGGAAATGGTTTTTAAAATATTGACATGAATTACAAATATAATCAATCCAAACTTGTCTATTTAAATTCATATTTGAGGGTTTTTTAAACTTTTAATTTACTATTTTACAGTTGGTTTTGAAAAAGAAAAATAAATCTTACCTTTTTAGGTATATATGTATATAAAAATAATAGATTGTTAGGTCCTTTTAAAATAGCTTTCCATATTGGGTTGGTGTTGTTTTTTTTTTTTTTTTTTTTCCTAAACGGAGTCTCGCTCTGTCACCCAGGCTAGAGTACAGTGGCAGGATCTTGGCTCACTGCAACCTCTGCCTCCCAGGCTCAAGCAATTCTCCTGCCTCAGCCTCCTGAGTAGCTGGGATTACAGGCACACACCACCGTGCCCAGCTAATTTTTGTATTTTTAGTAGAGATAAGAGTTTCACCATGTTGGTCAGGATGGTCTTGAACTCCTGACCTCAAGTGATCTATCTGCCTGGGCCTCCCAAAGTGCTGGGATTACAGACGTGAGACACCGCACCTGGCTGCATATAGTTTTAAAATATACTTATATATCCACACTGTTCTTTAAAATTTTAAATTAAAGGAAACATGAAATTCTCCCAGAATGGCTATCTTTAAAGAGGATATAGTATATAATTGCTAAGGGAATTTGGAACTTAATGGTATCCCCCTTCATTTGAACATTTCCTCTAGTAGAAACATAAAGGCACTACACAATACTGACATGCTAATTGATGTTTATGTTTTATTTACTTCTGAAGAAAAATACAATATTCAGGTAAAATGTCAGTGATATACTTCTCAGTGCACATATTTTATTGACTTAACCAGAAAAATATAAACAGATTTTTCAACAGTTAAAATTTCATTTGTGTAGTTGCTGCTGTTGAGGCTAAGAAATAGAGTTCTGGCAGTTGGGTTTGATAATAGGAATGGTGATTTTGTTCTAATACTGCTAAGGTCTATAAGAAAGGAAATAGTTTTCTAATTGTATTTCTTTTACCAGACACATCTTCCAGAGCTAGATACACTTTCATCAGAAAGAGCCAGATCCTTCATAACTTGGCTTAGAGACAGCAGACCATTAAGTCCAGTCCTTCACATAGTAAAGTGAGTAATTTTACAACTTAATTATGAAGTTGTCTTTCTCATATAGTCTGTGGAATTGCTTCAAAACAAACTTTAAATGGTATCAAAATATATTCTGATGGTAGAATTTTGTTACTTGATTTGTATCCCTTGTATTTCATTTTTCTGACATCCCCGTGTATTAGTAATTTTTAATATTTATTTATTTAATTTGAGATAGAGTCTCACTCTGTCACCCAGGCTGGAGTTCAGGGGTACTATCACAGTTCACTGCAGCCTAGACCTCCCATGCTCAGGTAATCCTTCCAATTCAGACTCCCAAGTAGTTGGGACTGCAGGCACTGGCCTCCACCCCTGGCTAATTTTTAATTATTAATTTTTTTTTTGCGATGGAGTTTCACTCTTGTCACCCAGATTGGAATGCAATGGCATGATCTTGGCTCACTGCAATCTCCACCTCCTGGGTTCAAGCAATTCCCCTGCCTCAGCCTCCCAAGTAGCTGGGATTACAGGCACCTGCCACCATGCTCAGCTGATTTTTGTATTTTTAGTAGAGACAGGATTTCACCATGTTGGCCAGGCTAGTCTCGAACTCTTGACCTCAGATGATCCACCCTCCTCAGCCTCCCAGAGCGCTGGGATTATAAGTGTGAGCCACCGCGCCCAGCCAATTTTTAAAGTGTTTTTTGGAGATTGGAGATCTTGCTATTTTACCCAGGCTAGTCTTAAACTCCTGAGCTCAACAGTCCTCCCACATTAGCCTCTTAAAGTGCTGATATTACAGATGTGAGCTGCTACACTCAGCCCAGTAATTTTTTAAATATATAGTTACTCTTTTTAGAAATATGTGCTTTTATTTTATTTGTATAAATTTACAAGATACAAGTGGAATTTTATTAGATAGATTGTAAAGTGGTGAAGTCAGGGCTTTTAAATATATTTTTAGACAAATGCCCTTTTCTTTCTTCCAGAGATGAGAGTCCTGCCAAAGCAGAATTTTTTCAGCATTTGATTGAAGACCGGACAGAAGCTGCATTTTCTTACTATGAATTTTTGCTTCATGTTCAGCAGCAGATTTGTAAGTGAAGTAGAATAAAATTGAATAAGAAAAAGGTCTATAACCTAGATAAAGCATAATCTGTCAAAGAAGTGTGTAGGAAATTTGAAATGAAGGAATTTGTTAATACAAGATGCAACGCACAGCACTCTGTCTGAGGCTTTGGTAAAAAGTCAGAGGGAAGAAAGAACCTGGCAGATTTTTTTCAACCCAGATTAATGGTAACGATGATGCTGTTTCACCAGGTATATTTTGAATTGGTTTCTACACATTTCCAGTAGTATGGCAGTACAGTGCTCTGTTCATTGCAAGCTGGCAAATTTATGTAGCTATGTGGAATGATATGTCATGTAAAACTAGATAAATTCTTTTTTCTTATAATTAATATAACATTTCTGAACTTGAACTCTGGCAAGAGATGCCAAAAGGCAGTGGTACCATGTTACTTGTTTATATGAATTACTTTTTAACAAGGAATGATTCTTATTCATTAAATGAATTCAACATCTTCCCTGTAAAAACAATAGCGTTTCAGTACATAAACTATAGAAAAAAATCTATATATAATGTACATAAATGTTACATTTGTAAAGAAAATGTAAAAATGTAACTATAGAATATGAATTGCTTAAACTGTGCTGCATTGTTGGATGACAACTCTTTTTGTCACAATTAGAGAATGAGGTTGACTAATGCGTGTTATGAATTGAGTCCACAAAGGAACACAAAAGGAACACAAAACTCTTTGTAATTCTGTTAAATCTTTTATGTGGATTTATTTATGATCAGCCTACTAATTAAAAATATTTCGCTTGACAGTATGGTTTGGTGATTTTTGAGGGTTTTTGTGGGTACTGGTGGGTTTGTTTGTTTTTTTTACATACAGGATATATTGAATTTACTAATTGGGGAAATGCAGTGATACTGCATTTCAGTTAGTAATATATATGAATCAGACCAGGCGCAGTGGCTCACACCTATAATCTCAGCAGTTTGGGAGGCCAAGATGGGCAGATCATTTGAGGTCAGGAGTTCATGACCAGCCTGGCCAACATGGTGAAACCTCATCTCTGTTAAAAATACCAAAATTAGCCAGGTGTGGTGGCAGGCACCTGTAATCCCAGCTACTTGGGAGGCTGAAACAGGAGAATCACTTCAACCCGGAGGCAGAGGTTGCAGTGAGCCGAGATCACGCCATTGCACTGGGTGACAGAATGAGACTGTCTCAAAAAAAAAAAAGGAAAGAAGTAATATATATGAATCAATACATTTTCATTAGTCTATGGACATTACCAAGTACTTATTCGGTTTGTATTCTAAAACAAATGGTGCTACTTTCAAAAATATTCTTAATAAGTATAATCTTAAATGTCTTTCTCATTTACATTAGATGTTTTTGCCTGAACACTGATAGCTGGAAAATTTTGTGACATATGTGACTATCCCATTTATTTAAGTAACTTTAAGATTGCCATCTTCAATTTTGATGTGATTTTCTTCTGATCAAGAAATCTCTCTTTCACTAACAACATATTTTCTATAAAAAACTGTTAAGGATCCTTTAGATTATGGGACAGAATTTTATTCTGTACACTGTGAAAGTCCCCATCCAATTGGAAGGAAAAGACTTGGCCAGGCATGGTGGCTCATGCCTGTAATCCTAGCACTTTGAGGGGCCAAAGAGCAGATGGCTTGAGCCCAGGAGTTTGAGACCAGCCTGGGCAACATGGGGGAAACCCTGTCTCTACAAAAATACAAAGAAATTAGGGGTCATGTGCACCTGAAATCTCAGGTACTCAGGAGGCTTAGGTGGGAGGATCTCCTGAGCCAGGGAGGTTGAGGCTGGAGTGAGCTGTGACCATACCACTGCATTCCAGTCTGGCCAATAGAGTGAGGCCCTGTCTCAAAACAAAAAAAAGAAAAAGAAAAAAATCTTTAAAAAAAGAAAAAGAAAAAAAATACTTGGCTATGTGTAGTGAGTTCTTTTTACTGGTTTTGTGCTTTCATGGATCTCATCACATTCCCTGATGGAAATAAGCGGTTAAATGACTCACCCTACATGACATTACTTACTAATTAGTGACAATGCTAATTGTAAAAATTCAAATGTTCTCCCTAACCACAATCTCCTCCCACCTCACCTGCCACCCACAGGATCATGCTTGTCCCTATACCATGCTGCCTCCAGCAAGAGAGAATCTTACTGAACATTAAGAGAAACTAAGCTGGGCATGGTGGTCCATGCCTGTAGTCCCAGCTATTCGGAAGGCTGAAGCAGGAGAATCACTTGAACCTGGGAGGCAGAGGTTGCAGTGAGCGGAGATTGTACCACTGCACTCCAATGGTGAGAGCAAGACTCTAACTCAAAAAAAAAGAGAGAAACTGTAGTACTCTAAGGGCAACTAAATACTGCAGTTTTACCATTGAAAGTATATTTCTTCTTTACAAAAGACAAAAATGTTTTGTCTTTGGATATTTTGTCGCTCATTCAATAAATATTTATAAGTATTTAATGCTTGTCAGATACTGTTCCAGGCGCAAAATAAAATCCTCACTTCCACAAATCTTATACTCTAAAGTGAGAATATAGAAGACTGGGGAGAGGCAAAAAAACTTCTATATAATTTGTAAATGTGATGTATAATTCTGTGTAAGTATGATCAATGTTATGAAGAAAAATAAAGCTGGGAAAGGAGATGGAAAATACTGTTTTTGACAGTGACCAGGGAAAGCTCCTTAGGAAGGTGAGAGTTGAGCAGAGAGCTAAAGCCACATAGATACCTAGAACAAGAGCTGTCCAAATAGGAGAACTCTGTGGTAGATGAATGTAGAAGTTACCTTCTAATTGTTCTTTTCTCTGTGAAAGAAGCAGCAGAATTATCAGCTGGAAACGGGTAAGAGGGTTAGAGGTTTTGCAAAATAGTCTCCTAAGAGAGTAAGATGTTGAATTTACTAGTAGTATGTAGTAGATTGTGAGGGCCCATCTTGAGCTGTGAGTCATGAACTTAAAGTGAAACTAATAAGCTTAACTATGCCTCTTTCCTCTAGCTATCTTCAGTGCTTGGTAGAAAGTTGGATTTAACCACAGCTGGGTACAAGGGAAAGAGGAGGAGCAAGGGAATTTAGAATGCTTACAAGGGAGTGACTCATTTAAGCTACAAGATCAGAAAATGGGTGATGGAGGAGATGGGCAGTACTGGGTAGCAGGCTTAGTTGTTTGGAAGTCCTGTTGAGGTCAAAGAGCTATTAAAAGTCTATGTCAGAAAGAATGAGTTGGAAAGATAAAAAGTAGTGGTCAGGATATGAAAAGCTTGGAATTGAGATTTGGGGGAAGTTTAGATAATGACAAGACTAGGGGGAATGAGTGGTTGAGATATTATTAAAGATAACTAGAGGTAAGGAGGTGAGAACTTGGAGCCCCTGGTTTTAAATGGATCATCTATTTGTTCATTAAAATTGCCCCCCGCCCCCGAAATGACAGGAATAATGCTGGGGATACAAGGACTGTAAATGATTACAGTAAGGAGGAGTGGCAGGGGATGTGCTAGGGATCTGAGGTAGGCAAGGAGGAAGAATAATCTGGATGATAACAGAAGTAGAGGGGTGCCTGCCTGGGGTTTAGGATCAAAATGGCTATCTTTTGACAGGTTTGGAGGAAGGTAATATCCTCAAGACAGCCAGGTTTCAGTTAGCGTGTGTGGAGACTGACATAAACCAGGATATAGGCATGACAAGAGTAATCTTGATGGGAGGTGGGTAATCCATTCTCATTGTCTCCTTGTGGGACAAGTCTCTTTGGCCATTTGCTTTGTGAGGCAGGGAGTGTTGGGTGAGAGGAAGGGGTATACCTGCCAGGAGTTCTGTGAGCTGCTCTTTTCAACTAACTAAAAGAAGATAGTGGTTCTTAGTGTTAGTGGTAGGGATGGGATCAGAATTTCCTGGGATAGTTTTTTTGGATATCTCAATTCATATTCACCAGCTGATTAGGGGCTTGGCTGGAGATACATTAAAATGCATCCATTAATGTATTAAAAGTATTCGTACATTAATATGTATATATGTGTGGCAAATACTATTTGATAGCCATTTGTAGATATGACTCTTCCATATTCAACCTGTGAGGCTAAGAAATGCACATATTAGCAAAGTGTTATATGAAAGAAACCATGAGCCCTCCTCTTCTAAGTATCTTCTCACTAAAATACTTTTGAAGACATAGGAAAAGATGAAAACTCACAACAAAGTTGAAAATAACATTGTAGACATTATCTAGATAATGAAAGAAGGCAGTTTATTAAAAAACACTCAGCCAGGTGTGATAGCTCATGCTTGTAAACCCAACACTTTGGCAGGTTGAGGTGGGAGGATCTCTTGAGGCCAGGAGTTTGAAACCAGCCTGGGTGGCTTAGCAAGACCCCATCTCCTTAAAAAGTCAGCCAGGTGTGGGGGTGCATGCCTGTATCCTAGCTGCCTGGGAGGCTGAGGTGAGAGGATCACTTGAGCCCAGGAGTTTGAGGCTGCAGTGAGCTAAGACTGCACCACTGTAATCCAGCCTGGATGACAGAGCAAGACCGTCTTAAAACACACACACAAACAACACACAAATTTTTAAAGAAAAAAAATAAGAACACCCAAGCTTTGTTAGGCACATGAAACCTGAAAAACAAAAATAGGAGATACTACATAATTCATTCATCTTTTGCCTCTGAATTCAGAGACAGGATCTGTATCAACCAGAAAATTGGTATCCTCCTCCTGCCTGTGTTCTTATAATAAGAAGCAGTATTTAATATAAAACAAGTGGGTAGGATGTGTGTGTATACTTAAGTGGAGAAGGTAGCCATAATCAGGGAACACAGGAGCTATTAATGTATGTATTCATTGCCTTCAGATGAGGCATGAGCAGATCCAAAAATTATTATTTTTTAGTTTCCTTTAGTAAACAGTGCACAGTTCTGCGGATATTTATTTTTGGACCAATGAGCATTACTCACAAGTAATTACTTACTAGTAATGTTATTACTTACTAATAAGTAAATTGCTAAAGTCCACTAAAATTTGTTTCCACAAATGAAAATCAGTGTTTTATTAGAGTTTACTTGGGACTCTACTTCCAAAATACCTGGTTCCTGTACAAGGTTTGTAATTTTGCAAGAATGCATAAAAGTGTGTCTACAGGTATTGTCACACAGATAGCAGGTCAGACAACTGACAGAAACTATCCCATGGTCAGTACTCAAACATTTTCTTATGAATGTATCATCATTGTCGGGAGAAGCTTATGGTTTTTCTGCTATTTTTGCATTTCAGATATGTATTATTTTAGCTTGATAGCCATTGAGATTGCTATAGATTATTTGATTTGTGTGTAGCGATGTATATATGCATATTTTTCACCATATTTTTCTAGTTTTCTATAACTGGGTTTTAAAAATATTTTCAGTAGAAAAATAATTATGCTCTCGTTGCTAAAAATAAATATGCGTAACTTACTCCTCTATATTGCTTATAAGATTTTGATAATGTAGCCAGTGAATATGTGTTAATTTAAATAACTTGTATATAGAATTAAGCCAACTGCAATATTATAACTGGGTTCTTTTTAACTTAATAGGATATTGTTTTATAATATTAAATCATATGTTTAAGCTCATTCTCTTAAAAAAATAAACAATAAGCAATTTCTGTGTATTCCTCTCAAGTCTTTATTACTTAGGAATTTGCTTTAGAGCAGAAATTGTATTTTGGATTTTCTTTAAACTTCTTATCCCACTTCACATATCCCCAAGTACTCTTCCCAAGACAGGATATATGGCAGGAACACACTTAACTTAATTGAACACTGGAACAGCTTATTAGCCTTTCTTATACTGGAGTCATTTCACAGTAACTCTTGGGAAATCTGTAAAACAGTATACCAGTTAGGAGGACTTTTTCCCAATTTTAATGAAAGTTTTTATGGATCTTTTCCCCCTGTAGTCAATTTCTTTCAAATTCTCCTTCTTTGGTGCTTAGTTCTTATGACTTGCATAGTAACAATAGGAAATGCCTATCACCTGCACTTCTTAATGGAACCAGAAAAATTTTAATAGAATGGAAGATACTGTGTCTCTAGCCTGTCTCCTAATCGTTATCAAAAGCTGGTAAATAATTAATTATGTGCAGAGTTAGAAATAATAGGAATAAATGGAGAAATTGATGAATAAGATGTTTAAGCAAGAAATGTCAAAACTTAAAGCTGAGCTTTTTAGTAACTAGGACCCTTAGTACTGTGTTCACAAGCAAAAAGTGGTCTTTCAGAAGATATTTACCAAAAATGTGGTGAACCTAAATTGTCTTCAAGGCATTTATGGCACTCTTTTGGGTCATAATCTGGGAAGGAGTGAAGACAAAATTGGGGTTGAGAATGAGTAGGAACCAGAAGGATAACTTTGAAAGGAAAAGAAGGCTAAATGTACTTCATTATAGGGGCTCTTCTTTGTTCACATCCAGGCTTTGCAAATGCTGCTCCCCTGCTTGGAAAACCCTTTCTGTCATTCCCTTCCTGGCTTTCTTCACTGAGTCCCCCCTTATCCTTCAAAATTCAGCCTAGGGATCACTACCTCTTGGTAGCCTCTCCTGATGGCTCTCCTATCTGGATTAAATACTTCCACTGCGTATATCTAACACATTCTTATCTCTGCTATAGTCCCCATCAGACTGTGTTACAATTGACATTCTCCCTCAAACATGGGAACCAGTTTCTCTTTGTCATACTGCCTCCACATACCTGGCATATAGTAGGCATTTAGTAAATGTTTGTCGAGCCAATTTTTTTCCCCTTAAAGACAGGGTCTTGCTAGGCTAAAGTGCAGTGGTGTGATCATAGCTCACTGAAGCCTCAAACTCCTGTGCTCAAGGGATCCTCCTGCCTCAGCTGCCTGAGCAGCTAGGACTGTAGGTGTGTACTACCATGCCTGGCTATTTTTTGTAGAGACAAGATATTGCTATGTTGCCCAGGTTGGTATTGAACTCCTGGGCTCAAGTGATTCACCTCAGCCTCCCAAAGCACTGAGATTACAGGTGTGAGCCACTGTGTCCAGCAGAACCAGTGTTAAATAATTCCAAGCTAGAGAGAAATGTCTTGAACACCTGTGAATAAAAATAAAGGCAGTTTCAGTTGGATAAGCAGAGAAACATACTAAACTACACTAGATAGAAATTGAAAGAAACTCTGACATAGAATGGGAATGGTGCCAGAAGGTGGATAATAAACCCTATGAAAATTAAGGAGTATACCACTTCTGAAGTTGAGGTTCACTGGTCTGGAGCATGTTGCAAGATTCCCACAAATAGAGAAGACAAGCTGCTGCTCCCTGTGCCACTTTTCACAATGTTAGGCACAATACTTGGTGGCTTTTTTTTTTTTTTTTTTTGGATGTTGGAAGCTGTGTATACAACATTTCAGTAATTCATTACCAAGTAACCTGTAAGGTTGCCAATCTGAGGTGTCGTTAGAGCAAAAGAAGGCTCTACATCAAGTCAGACTGCAGTGCAAACTGCTTTGCCACTTGGGCTGTATTGACCCAGCAGATTCAACTCAGGAGTGTCTGTGGCAAATACAAATGCCATATCAGGCCTCAACTGGAGTGTCCTCTCTAGAGTTGTTAGAGCAGAGCCATGCCCTTTTCTGAAAAACAACAAAACCTTATCTTTGTGAGAGTAGCTCTTAGATTGCTATTGAGCTGTGTACTATAGGATGTCAAATGTCCTTGGGATTTATGCTGACCAGTGTGAACCAAGCAGTAGGAGTAAACATGGACGGTAACAATCTATCATTAAGTGGCAGCTTAATGTTAGTACATAAGGGATCATGCTCAGCGGATCCTGAAGTCAGTTGCACAGGCAGGCGGCTCCAACTCATGACACCTGCTCCTGCTGCATTGCTTCCTTTCCTTGCATTCACATTTATGGCCTAATGGGGATGTTTTCCTGTAATCAGTTAAGGGAGAAACTAAAACTTAAATTTAAGACAAAATGCTGGCATCAACTGGTCTGCTATTGTATTAGTCTAATAATGGGAATCCTCTTTGTGAGCAAAACTTCAAGCAGTACATTGATTGCCACTTTGTCTAGACTATGAGATGTAGATCTCAAAGGATGTAGATCTATGCAGCTTCATTGACAATGGCAAATGACTAATTAGGTAACAAAGGACTTGGTAGGAACAGGATTAGAAAATTGGTGGCAAGGAGGTTTGGAGAAGAAGGATTTGAATGGACTTCACAAAATGGACACAGCATATGAAATAGTTGTGTTCTACATCAATGGACACCAAAGGACACCTGCAGCAAAATTTGTCCATCTCAATTAGGTAGAGAAGGTGACGTTTCCTGCAAATGTCAGCCTCTTTCTGTAGCCACCCACTATTTGCTTAATGGTTTGTGTACAAAGTTATCATACTTGTAAGGACAGAAGCTGTGTGTGGGCCAAATATTATGGACGTCCCTTCACCAAGGCTGATCTAGCTACTGCCACTGTTATTTCTAAGTGTTGTCAGCTGAGACCTACTTTGATTCCTCAATATGACATCATTCCTTGGGGAAAACTGGTAGTCACCTGATATGTTGATTACATTGTACCCCTTTGATCATGGAGCATTTATTTGTCTTTAATGGAATAGACACACAGTCTGGATATGGATTTGCCTGATCTGCTTGCAGTGTTTCTGCCACCACCACCATCTGTGAGCTTACAGAATGCCTTCATCATTGCCATATGACCTCCACAACATTGCTTCTGATCAAGGAACTCATAGCAAAAGAAGTATGACAATGGAAATTCACTGCTGTTACTACATCCTATCACCCTGATATGGTTTGGATTTGTGTCTCTGCCCAAATCTCCTGTCGAATCCTCTCAAATCTTCTCTCTGCCCAAATCTCCTCCCCCAATATTGGAGGAGGGGCCTGGTGGGAGGTGACTGGATTGAATCATGGGGGCAGATTTCCCCCTTGCTGTTCTTGTGATAGTGAGTTCTCGTGACATCAGGTTGTTTAAAAGTATGTTGCACCTACCCCAGATATCTCTTCCTCCTTCTCTGATCACATAAGACGTGGTGCCTGCTTCCTCTTTGCCTTTGGTCATGATTGTAAGTTTCCTGAGGCCTCCCCAGCCATGCTTCTTGTACAGCCTATGGAACGGTAAGTCAATTAAGCCTTTTCTTTATAAATTACCCAGTCTCAAGTAGTTCTTTATAGCAATGCAGGAACAGACTAATACATACCCCAAAAAGCCGTTGACCTGACAGAAAGGTGGAATGCCTTCTGATGACTCAGTTACGGTAACAGTTGGAGTATCATCCTACAGGGTATAGTATATGCTTTGAACGAGCAACCAACATTTTTCTCCTGTAGCCAGACACGCAGGTCTGAGAATCAAGAATTGAAAGTGAAATCATTATTTTAATATAGTCCCCAAATTTTAGGGTCTTAGTTTACAAAGGAGAGGTGCTTAGTTCTCAAAGGGACACAGCAATGTCTCCACTGTATTGGAAGTAGTGAGTATTACCTGGCCATTTTGGGCTCCTTCTGTCAACAACCAGAAGGAAAGTGTTCCTGATTATGAAGAGAAATTGATTTGCTGTGACATAACAGGGCAAGGATGACAATGTCTAAGATCTAGAGGCTTTTCCAGAGTGCCTCAGTCCTTCTATGTTCAGTACTAAAAGTTAATGAAATACAGTAGCCCAATGGGTCACTGATGATTCAAACTCTCAAAAATAAGATTTGCATCTTCCACCAGGTAAAGAATGTCAACCAGCATTTCTTTCTTTCTTTTTTTTTTTTTTTGAGACGGAGTTTTGCTGTTGTTACCCAGACTGGAGTGCAATGGCGCGATCTTGGCTCACTGCAACCTCCACCTTCTGGGTTCAAGCAATTCTCCTGCCTCAGCCTCCCAAGTAGCTGGGACTACAGGTGCATACCACCATGCCCAGCTAATTTTTGTATTTTTAGTAGAGACGGGGTTTCACCTTGTTGACCAGCATGGTCTCGATCTCTTGACCTCGTGATCCACTGCCTCAGCCTCCCAAAGTGCTGGGATTATAGGTGTGAGCCACCGCACCCGGCCTGTCAACCAGCATTTCTTGCTGTGCTGAAGAGAAATTAGAAGACAATCTGAGAGGTGTAGTGGGAATAAATTTGATAGTGGAAAGTCAATTCTAGCAGTGGATCTGTCACATTGTGTTAGATTGGCTGTAATAGAAAGTATAAGGGTTTGCAAGCCAAACAGAACAAAATTTGAATTACAGTTCTTCTGTAGCTGTGTGACCTGGGGCAAATCTCTAAATTTCACTGAGCCTTTATATCCCTACTAGAGAATAATAGTTCCTCGGTAAGAGTTTTGTGAAAATTATACGGAATGAGTATGTAAAGTTTTCTGTGCAGCACCTGGCTTCTAATACATACTCAATAAATGGCAGTCAATTTCTTAACAAAATAATAGCACAACAGTAATAATAGTAATAATGTTTGCACATTGAGCCTGCCCTTTGCCCTCCTATCACCTGTCACTTTCCACCTTCACTGAAATTATTCCACATGGTACATGGAAAACCAAAATATTTTCATGTGGACTGCTGCTACCTCCACTGTGTACTGTGATCGATGTATTAACTGCACTTTTTTGCTTCAGACCATCCAGATCAGATGGGTATACAGAAAGAAGCAAGTAGTCTTAGTTCATTACATGCGCATACCATCAGACTTGAAAACTTGGTGCTCACCAGTAAGCCACAATTCTGGTTTTGTTTTTTCTTTCTATCAGGTTTATTCTAAAAAGACTATCTGAGGCTTTTTATCTATCTCTCTCTCTCTCTTTTTTTTTTTTGAGACAGAGTCTTGTTCTTGTTGCTCAGGATGGAGTGTAGTGATGTGGTCTCAGCTCACTGCAACCTCTGCCTCCCAAGTTCAAGCGATTCTCCTGCCTCAGCCTCTTGAGTAACTGAGATTACAGGCATCCGCCACCACACACAGCTAATTTTTGTACTTTTAGTAGAGATGGGGTTTTGCCTTGCTGGCCAGACTGCTCCTGAACTCCTGACCTCAGATGATCCACCTGCCTTGGCCTCCCAAGGTGCTGGGATTACAGGCATGACCCACCGAGCCCGGCCTACCTGTCTCTTTATTAAAATAGTAGTTATGAACTCATAAACCTCTGAGTCTGTAAACATGCTGTTCCTCCTGCTAAAAACTCATCTTTACCTTTTTGTTTGGTTAGCTGCTATGCCTCCTTCAGTTATTAGTGTATACTGATGCCAGCCTGTCCATTACCCCTAGCCTACGTGAGGTCTCCCTGCTCTATGTTCCCATAGGCCCTTGTAGTTTTCCTATTATAACCTTTATGTCACTTTTCTTAATTACTTGTTCACTAGGTGAACAAGCTTCTGCACTAAGTTCTGTGTAAGTAAGAACACAGAACTCATCTTTAAAAAAAAATTCTTGGCTGGGTGCAGTGGCTCATGCCTACAATCCCAGCACTTTGGGAGGCCGAGGCAAGTGGATCATGAGATCAAGAGTTCGAGACCATCCTGGTCAACAAGGTGAAACCCCGTCTCTACTAAAAATACAAAAATTAGCTGGGCATGGGGGCGCGCGCCTGTAGTCCCAGCTACTCGGGAGGCTGAGGCAGGAGAATTGCTTGAACCCAGGAGGCGGAGGTTGCGGTGAGCCGAGATCGCACCATTGCACTCCAGCCTGGGTAACAAGAGCAAAACTCCATCTCAAAAAAAAAGAAAAATTCTTGTCTCAAATTTTTAATAATTTTTATTTCAATAGTTTTGGGGGTACTGGTGGTTTTTGGTTACATGGATAAGTCCTTTAGTGGTGATTTCTGTGATTTTGCTGCACCCGTCACCATCACTCCAGCAGTATACACTGTACCCAATATATAGTCTTTTTTCTGAGTTGGAGTCTTGCTCTGTCACCCAGGCTGTAGTGCAGTGGTACAATCTCTGCTCACCGCAATCTCAGCCTCCTGCGTTCAAGCGATTCTCATGCTTCAGCCACCCAAGTAACTGGGACTATAGGCACACAACACCACGCCTGGCTAATTTTTGTATTTTTAGTAGAGACGGGGTTTTGCCATGTTGAACAGCCTGTTCTTGAACTACTGACCTCAAGCAATCCACTCACCCCGGCCTCCAAAAGTGCTGGGACTACAGGCATAAGCCACCATGCCCGGCCCCAATATGTAGTCTTTTATCTCTCACCCCCACCCAACCTTCCCCCTTTCCCCCTACCTGAATCCCCAAAGCACATTATATCATTCTTATGTGTTTGCACCCTCATAGCTTAGCTCCCACTTATAAGTGAGAACATAACATATTTGGTTTTCCATTCTGGAGTTACTTCACTTAGAATAATGGCCTCCAGCTCCATCCAAGTTGCTGCAAAGACGTTATTTTGTTCTTTTTTATGGCTGGGTAGTATTCCATAGTATACGTATACCACATTTTCTTTACTCATTGGGTGATGGGCATTCAGGTTGGTTTCATATTTTTGCAGTTGTAAATTGTTTTGCTATAAACGTGTGTGCAGCTATCTTTTTCATATAATGTCTTCCTTTTTTTTTTTTTTTTTGAGTAAATACCCAGTAGTAGGATTTTTGGATTGAATGGTAGATCTACTTTTAATTCTTTCAGCAATCTCCATACTGTTTTCCATAGGTTGGACTAGTTTACATTCCCACCAGCAGTGTAGTTTCGCCACATCCACAGCAACATCTATTATTTTTTTGATTTCTTAATTATGGCTATTCTTGCAGGAGTAAGTTGGTATCTCATTGTGGCTTTAATTTGCATTTCCCTGATAATTAGGGATGTTAAGGATTTTTTATATGTTTGTTGGCTGTTTGTTTATCTTCTTTTGAGGATTATCTTTATGTCCTTTCTCCACTTTTAGATGGGATTATTTATTTTTTGCTTGCTGATTTGTTTGATTTCTTTGTAGATTCTAGATATTAGTCCTTTGTCAGATATATAGTTTGCGAATATAAAAGCTCATCTTTTTTATTCATCACTCTACCATCAGCCTAGAACAGTGTTTGGCAAATCCTCATGCACTAGTAACCACAAGTATGTGTGTTTGTATTATTTTTCAAGGTAGATGTAGTTTATTTTTTTTCTTGAGATGGAGTCTCGCTCTGTTGCCCAGGCTGGAGTGCAATGGTGTGATCTCAGTTCACTGCAACCTCCGCCTCCCAGGTTCAAGCGATTCTCCTTTCTCAGCCTCCTGAGTAGGATTACAGGCATACACCACCATGCCTAGCTAATTTGTTGTATTTTAGTAGAGACAGGATTTCACTGTGTTGCCTAGGCTGTTCTCGAACTCCTGAACTCAGGCAGACCCGCCTCGGTCTACCAAATTGCTAGGTTTACAGGCATGAGCCATGGTACCCGGCCTAAAAGTGGTTGCAGCTATACTTAGAAGTCCTGTTTTATTATTATATATTAAATTTATTCAGCAGACATTTGAGAACCTACTAGTTAGGTGCTGGTGATAGAGCAGTGAACAAAACAGACAAGGACCCTTCTGACACGGAGCTTACATTCCAGTTGGGGGAGACAGGTTTTAAAAGTATGTGTTGTGTCAGGTAATGATTAAATGCTAAGATGGGAAAAAATGCAGAGTAAGGGCTAACTGACAGGAAGTAGAAGTTAATGTAGCCAACCACATTTTACAAGGCCTCCCAGGCTATGGTGAGGGCTTCAGGTTTCACTGGGAGAGAGGTGCAAACCCATTGAATGGCTTTGAGTGAAGTTGCAATCTGATCTGTTCTTAGCAAGATGAATTCAGCAAACCTATCTTAGGAAGCTAAAGAAGGCAAGGGTGGACAAAATGAATAATTTGTGAAAAAATCAGCTCCCTAGATTGTTTAGGTGGAAGATGTTTGGATTAAGAGAAGGTTACATTGCCCCGAAATCTGGAAATTAATTACGGCAGCTTGGATTAATCCTTACTTGATTATTATTATAGTACTGGGTTTCTTTGCTAATATTTTATTTAGGATCTATTTCATCTACTTTTATAAGTAAGATTTGCCTATAGTTAGCTTTTGTGGTGCTTGCTTGCTTGTTATTAGCATTATGCTAGTTTATTAGATGAGTTGGATAGCTTCCCATCTGTTTTAGTGATTTGGAACAGTTTGTATAAAATACCTAAAATTTTGGTGTATAAGGTAGGTGTTATCTGTCCTAGGGGCCATCTACCAGGTAGATCACTGACCACTGTTTCAATCAATGACCATTATGCTATTCACGGTCTCTTTTTTTTTTTAATTTTTTTTTATAGAGACGTGGTCTCGCTATGTTGCCCAGGCTGGAGTGCAGTGCTATTCACAGGCGCGATCCCACTACTGATCAGCATGGGAATTTTGACCAGCTCCATTTCCGACCTGGGCCAGTTCAGCCCTCCTTAGGCAACCTGGTGGTCCCCCGCTCCCCGGAGGTCACCATATTGATGCTGAACTTAGTTCGGACACCTGATCGGCATAGCATAGCCCAGAACTCCTGGACTCAAGCGATCCTCCAGCCTCAGCCTCCCGAGTAGCTGGGACTACAGACACGTGCCACCACGCCTGGCTCAGGGTCTCCTTTTTGAGCCAAGTTGGTTAGTTGTAATTTGATTGATGTAAACAATTATTAGAGGTTAGCTTTTTCTATCCTTTCTGTTATGTTTATATGTTTCTTCTTTCCTTTTTCTTCATTCTTGTTTCAGGTTTTTTTTTTGTTGTTGTTGTTTTTTTTGAGTGCCTTGTAAAAAGAACAATTTTGGGGTTTACTGACTCGCTCTTTTTTTGTTGGGGGTGGTTGCTATAGAGGAAGAGTAGAGGAAATTTGATTCATTTTCTGCTTTACCTTTATCATTTCCTTCCTCCTACTTCCTTTAGCTATATTGTTGCTGCCTTTTTTCTAGCTTCTTGGAGTGTAAGCTTAGTTTATTTTCAGCCTTTTCTGTTTCCTCATAAATTCGTTTAACACTATACATTTTCCTTAGTAATAAATATTTTAATGTTAAAAAGTGCCTTTTTGGTATTCAGTTTGAAAATAGTTCTGAACTTCCACTTATTGGTAATTTAATTTATTAATATTTATACGTGTGTCAAAGTACTTAAATTCCAATGGTAAAGATGGGGTAACGATACTTTATCTTTTCATTAATTTTTTTATTTTGAGGGCCGGGCGTGGTGGCTGAAGCCTGTAATCCCAGCACTTTGGGAGCCCGAGGCAAGTGGATCACGAGGTCAAGAGATCGAGACCATCCTGGTCAACATGGTGAAACCCTGTCTCTACTAAAAACACAAAAAATTAGCTGGGCATGGTGGTGCGTGCCTGTAATCCCAGCTACTCAGGAGGCTGAGGCAGGAGAATTGCCTGAACCCAGGAGGCGGAGGTTGCGGTGAGTCGAGATCGCGCCATTGCACTCCAGCCTGGTCAACAAGAGCGAGACTCCGTCTCAAAAAAAAAAAAAAAATTATTTTGTTGTGTGTGTACACATTTAGTTTTATTTTAACAAAGCAATTTATACACTTTTAACATTTAAAACTGAGCATCTTCTTTCCTTTACAGTGAAATAAAAAAATAAAAAATAAACAGGAACGAAATTACAATAGAGACTGTCAGTTCCAAATAAGATCCTACAGGTTTTGATTCTCCCATTGAGTGTCAGGGCTCAAGTCATCATTAGGAGAGAATTTATTTTAAAAGTCTCATCTTTTAACTGCAAGGATGTCTGTCAAACATCACAATTAGACATGCTAAAGGAGAAGCCATGTTGTCAAAATGCCCACTTAACCCACCCAAACATCTCAAACCCACCCTTTGCTGACCTATAATCCCCACCCCCCTTTTTTTTGAGATGGAGTTTTGCTTTTGTCACCCAAGCTGGAATGCAATGGTGTGATCTTGGCTCACTGGAACCTCTGCCTCCTGGGTTTAAGAGGTTCTCCTGCCTCAGCCTCCTGAGTAGCAGGGATTACAGGCGCCCGCAACCATGCCCAGTTAATTTTTGTATTTTTTTTAGTAGAGATAGGGTTTCACCATGTTGTTCAGGCTGGTCTCGAACTCCTGACTTCAGGTGATCTTCCAGGCTTAGCCTCCCAAAGTGCTGAGATTACAAGCATGAGCCACTGCACCTGGTAACCCCATTTTTAAAAGTTATTTTTTTCTTTTTTTAAACAAGAGAAAGTAGACAGATACATGTTGGTCAATGCTAAGTGTCCGTATTCACATACAGACACAGTGTACTTTCTGAGGCCAATATTCAGAGAAAGGAGAAAAGAAGCTAGAATTCTATGCACTGCTACACAGGGGCCTAGCACCCTCCAGCTTCCAGCAGAGCGAAGGAAGCAGGTTTTTCTTTTTTCCCACCGAGCTCTATGGTATTGATTCCATATAGTTTTTGTTCAGACAGGAAGGGATAAAAATGAATTTTGCACAGATAGGGGTAGAGACTCTTCCCATTGTATTCTGCTCAACGTATTTCCCCCAAATAAATTGAAAGCCTTGGTGTAGAGAAAAGAGACCTCAAGAACAGGGTGAATGAGAACAAGAGGCACAAAAAAAAAAAAAAAAAAAAAAAAAGCCAACAACAAAAAAACCCCACAATATCAGACTACAACTTGCTCCGGAGACTGGAGAAAATTTTAAAAGGGGAAGGTTGGAATCCATCAGTGTTCTGTTATTCATCTCTTTCCTCCTTCTCTCCATCTTCCCCTTCATCATCATCTTCACTTTCATCTTCATCCCCTTGTTCATCAATATCTTCTAATTCTTCCTCCTCTTCCTCATTATCATCTTCTTCATCATCCATATCGGGAACCAAGTGGTACTGTAATGAGTTTGGCCAAATATCATCTTTGATGACCTCTCCTAACTCTTCAGCCCCTGCATCAGAATAGTCAATAAACCAGGTCAAGAAGCTCTCTGGTGGCTCATGCTGCCTCTTCCTGCTGGCTTTATACTGCATTTGACTTGAACCTTTTGTCACATCCTTTCCAGATTTCCATTTGATTAAAGTGCAGTTTGAAGATGGATTACCACTCTCATTCAGATGAAATTCTTTGGAGGAAACTTTATTTTCAAAGTAACGACTTTCATCAAGATAATAATTTATTCTGTAACCTGATTTAATACCTTCAAATTCTGTCACTTCAACTCTGGTCAAATAATGCAGTCCCTCTTCGTCTTCCTCCCCAAGCAGTGCAGACACTATAAATGATTGACAAATGTTGTTATCCCAAAATTTAGGATTTTGGCAATCAATTCTGACCTCTTCTGAAAAAAATGGTTGGCGGAATTTGTTGTATTTCTGTTCTATTTTCAAAATCTCACTGGCTTCTTCATTAAGTCTATCTATTTCATTTTATATTTCATCAATGTGTTCAATTGCTTCTTGCTGTTCTTTTTTGCCCTTCTTCAGCAAGCCTACAGAGGCCGAGGTCTCCTCTGGTCTCAGAGCAGGATGTGATTTTGGTGTCTTCTTTTAGGGCAGGAGGGGAGACTGGCATTTGGGGGCCATGCTGCTAGGGAAGCCCTGCTCGTCAGGAAGCAGGCAGAACACTCTAATTTCTTATATTTAATTTCATGAACAAAGCCTATATGTTAACAAGTTTAAGGTCATTTTTGAGTTTCCCTTTGAGGCCGCCGACTATGTGGTCATTACATTGTGAATCATCCATATGTGTTTGAAATAATATGTACTCTCAAATGGGTACAGAGTTCTTTATAACTCTGTGAGAAATGGAGGTCTAGGACCTGGAGGCAGAATAGGGAAAAGAAATATCTTTCTCTATATACCATTAAAATTCAAACCAAGTGGGAGGCCCAATGGATAATAGGAGTATTACTGGAAGCCATTCCTACATGGGCATGGCTAACAATACCTTAACAATACATGGAAATGGGCCGGGCCCGGTGGCTCACGCCTATAATCCCAGCACTTTGGGAGGCCGAGGCGGGTGGATCACGAGGTCAAGAGATCGAGATCTTCCTGGTCTACACGGTGAAACCCCGTCTCTACTAAAAATACAAAAATTAGCTGGGCGTGGTGGTGCGTGCCTGTAGTCCCAGCTACTCGGGAGGCTGAGGCAGGAGAATTGCTTGAACCCAGAAGGCAGAGGTTGCGGTGAGCCGAGATCGTGGTGAGCCGAGATCGCGCCATTGCACTCCAGTGTGGGTAACAACAGTGAAACTCCGTCTCGAAAAAAAAAATACATGGAAATGACCATGAGCCACACAAAAATATCCCACTAAACCCAAAGTAAATGGATCTCCAACTCAGATTGCTCTTTGGTTCCTAGAGAGACTGAAAGTAGATGATTAGTAGTTGCCTGGAGCTGGAGGTGAGTGGAGAGTGATGCAAATGAACCTCAGGAATCTTTCTAGAGTGATGGAAATGTTCTAATTTATTATGGTGACTGATGCGTAACTCTGTAAATTCGCCAAAAATAACTTTTAATAAGTGAAAGTTATGATACGTAGATCATACCTTAATAGAGCCATTTACAAATTTTTTTTTTGAAAAGCGAGATCAGAGATTCGAATGTGAAAAGGCTGTGACATATAAGTAATACTTCTGAACTAGCTCACATTGAGTAATTGTTTTGTCCCATCAAGAGTCCTATATACTGTGGGAAAGTTTGTTGTGCACCCAAAACATCTATGTGTGAGAGCAACTTTGTGTACAGTGCCGCCCCAGTAAACTCGCTCTATCTGCAGTGTCCAGAGCTTCTTCCACAGTAGTTTGCTGATCCCACCTTTGCGGCCAGATTCTGCGCTGCAAAATGGGCATCTCCTCCCCTTCTCCATTTCCCTCCTTCCTAATAAAACTCTTTTCTGAAGAAGCTGAGGTCAGCATCAGATTTGAAATATTTAAAGTGGATACAAAACTATTTCAGCAATGCAGACAATTAAGTGCATTGTTGTGGTTCATGAAGCTGTTAGTAAAACATGTCACCTGATATCCTACACAACAAATTTCCATCCTAATGCATATAGACTGTTTTTGACAACTATGCACTCACAGTATGATTGGTGCAGAGCCATATACTCTTGGACTTTTAATACTGCAGGGCAAGAGGATTATGACAGATTATAACTGCTGAGTTATCCACAACAGGTATATTTCTAGTCTGTTTCTCAGGAGTCTCTCCATGTTCATTTGAAAGTGTGAAAGAAAAGCGAGTGCCTGAGATAACTCACCACTGTCCAAAGGCTTCTTTCTTGCTCGTCAGGACCCAAATTGATCTCAGAGATGATCCATCTATTACTGAGAAAATTACCAAGGACAAACAGAAGACTGTCACTCCAGAGACTGATGAAAAGCCAGCCCACAACCTGAAGGCTATCAAGTATATGGACCGTCCTGCACTCACACAGCAAGACCTAAAGAATGGATTTGACAAAGAATATTGGTTGTCCTGGAGCCTCCAGAACTGAAGTAGAGCTGCAGGCCTGTGCTGCTATGAGCATCACTCCAGAGCCCTTTCTGCACAGCTAGTATAGCCATCATACTAAAACCAATGTTTAAATCAAATGAAAGATTAAAAATTAAAATTCGGCCAGGTACGGTGGCTCACAACAATAATTCCATCACTTTGGGAGGCCGAGCCAGGTGGATCACCTGAAGTCAGGAGTTCAAGACCAGCCTGGCCAACATGGTGAAACCCCATCTGTACTAAAAATGCAAAATTAGCCGGGTGTGGTGGCATATGCCTGCAAGTCCCAGCTACTCGGGAAGCTGACGGGAAAATTGCTTGAACTCGGGAGGCAGAGGCCGAAGTGAGCCGAGATGGCACTACTGTACTCCAACCTGGGCAAGACAGCAAGATTCCATCTCAAAATTATATATATATATATATATATATATTCATTTTTGCAATAATGACAAATACCCTGTATCAACCCACATGAGACAGGGATTATAGGTATGGTCCCGTTCTCCCTCCCAGTACTAGTTAATTCTAAGTAATTGTGTGTTGTTAGAAAAGTAATCAGTACTCATTTTTGGTTTTTGTTTCAAAAAACAATTTTGTTTCTGTTTAGAAGCAAGGCATGCTTGTGATGACCGTGTAACAGATTAATTGGAATTGTTGAATCTGCTCCCTGACTCCATTCTGGAGAGTAATCTGGGGCATCTTAGTGGGGTTTTATTTTTCCTGTTTTTTTTTTTTTTTGGAGGAGGTTTGTATGGTTTGTTTTTTAGTCTTTTTTTTTTTTTTAATTCATTAACCAGTGGTCAGTCCTTAAGAGGAGGAAGACAGATTGATTCCATATTTGACTTCCTAGATCTAGTTTAGAAAACATGTTCCTTATCTGGGGTGCTTTTAGGAAAGAATATAGTAAATGTCTTATTTAATAACATTTATTTTTGAAAGTTGCCTTTTATCTCCACCTTTGACTAGGTTCAGTATTTGATGAAACTCATGAAAGTGGGTGGAAATTGTCTTGCCCCTGCTCTTTTCTGGGATCCACTAAATATGTGACTGTGACTTTCAAGGTAATTTCTTTGCCAGTTGCTGATTTTTGGGGGAGTTAATTTCTAACTTCTTTCACTGATGAATAAAGTATTGCACCTTTGAAATGCAACAAGTGGATTGAGTTTGTAACTTAAAAAAAATTTTTCCCTGTCAGTCACTGTCTTACATGCTTATCATAGATTTGCAGTCAACAGTATATGGTGTTTCTAGAATGCAGCTGAGGACCTGGTATGTAGAGGGAATGTGAAGGGTGGTACCAGAGGACTGATGTCTATACAATGATTCACAGCCTCTCAAGTTACGAGGATGGAGACCTGCTTTATGAAGAAGCTAGGGTGTGATGGGGATGGATAGAACACTTAACAACATGGCATCAGTCAGGGGAATCCCCTTCTGTTTCGCAGATGAGGAACCCTAGAGCCGCCAGATGAGGCTCTCTAGTTTAATAAAAATCATGGAAAGATTCTGATCAAGACTCTTCTCAAGTGTTAATAGAGATTTTATCAGCTTATTTTAGTTGTAGTTTCCAATTTCCAAAAATGTTTAGGTAATCTTTACACCTTTCAAAACCTAGTTCATGAGTGCTGAACCAGTGCTTTCTCATGTCTCAATTCTTTGTATAGGCATTCTTTTCTGATGTAGTAAACAAAAACCCTTCACAACAACAAAAAATAAAAACAAAACGCATTTCATTTACTTTCAAAAAAACCTTCACAACGACAACAACAACAACAAAACAACAAAAACAAAAACAAAAACAATACACATTTAATTTACTTGGAGCTAATAGGAGGAAAAGACACAGGAAAGGTAATTTACCTTCCCATATGAACTTAAAAGTTTAATGTATCGCTGCCCATCTAGTACAATTGTACAGTTTTTAATGGTGATGAAGTTTTTACTATCGTAGAAACTTCCTATTCTTTCTCTTTTCAATATGGAAAGGAGACTACCGACAGCAGTGATTTGCCTCTTGCTGCATGTTTTCCAACTTTGATTCATCAACTGAAGCCTCTTGCAAATTCAGCAGATAAAAATGAAGGGTGCCCGGTTAAATTTGAATTCAGATAAACACC